GTCGTCATTGACATCGTTGTGGTTGCCGTTGCCGTTTTCATTGTTTGTGTCGCTGTTGTGGTTGTGCTTGTGGTTGTTGTTGTTGAGGTGGTGGTGGTGGTGGTGGTTGTGGTGGTAGTTGTGGTTGTTGTTGCTGTTGTGTTGTTGTTTTGTGCTTTGCCCCGTCCCAGCGTGACTGTGGTGATTTGCAAGCTGCTTTGTCTTTATCATTATTTGTTTGTCGTCAAATTGTCCATGTCCAGTCCCCGGTGTTGAGACATATGTTCACAGGTTTTGAGTTTTTGTGTTTGGGTGGCAAGGAGTTTTATATCAGCGATGGCTCTTTTTGTGTAGTTGATTGTGAACTTAGTTGATGATGAATTTAGTCAGCAGTAGCATTTGTTTTGCCTGAGTTTCCTTTGTGCATTTGTCTCACACCATAGCTGTTCTGATGCACTCGCACATTACACGACTGGATGTCACCAAACTTTCCAAGAACCAAACATCATGGACCACGGTACAACGGTACAAACCTTCGCGGACTTGGAGGACGACAAAGAAGTAAACTTCTTGCAATGAAGCTGGAATGCTAAAGGAATGCTAATCAAACTCCAACCCAAGTCTCGTGGACCCTGAAATAATGACATCGCATGACAGTCATGACATGTTATGTTCCAAAATTTGTTTAGTCATGGCGCGTCATGATAGGTGACACGTTCAGTCATGACACGTCATGTCAATGGTGGCGGTGAAGAACCTCGAGAACCTCCACGCACCAGGATCCACCTCCGGTGGGTAGCCGCCAAGGTCCGCCGCTCAGATAGCACGGAGTTGGAGTGAGACCCTAAGACGGGCGAAACGGCAACGCTGCGCGGTTTGGGTGAAGGCTCTTTGAGCGCAAAACACATCAAAGAAGCCTGAGCTTGGCGCTTGGCAAATGAACACCCAGATAGTTCTAGAAGTTTTTCCTTGAAATGACACTTCCAACCAGAAAGACTCCACTTGAACATGATGCGACTCTGTGGCTGCCAAAAGCCATTGCACCAAATTCACTAAGCTTTTAAAGATGATCTTGCAAGGGCTAGCACGCTGCACATGTTGAAACTTATGCAACATGCAACTTGTAACCATGTCAATGTCGTCTTAATCATCAACTCATGGCTACCCGATAGCTACTGATTCTGGGCTCTTGCGTAGTCACTTGTTTGATGGCACGGTGGCTGTTTTGAATTTGCGTGGTCCCCGCGATCAACGCAGACGTTTTGCATGCCTCAACATCACATGCACCCAGTCATAGTGGTGTCATATCAACCATTTGCTTGCTTCACGCTACTTGTAGGTTTTGCACTCCAGCAGCTTCGCAGACCAAAGGCCCATTGACTCCAGTCATAGGGAAGCAACTATCCGCCATTGGATGCCATTGGCTTCAGATTTGGAACCATTTATCATGGAAATAACCCATTCAAAGTGGTCTATTCCACCATCTTTCGATGGAATCTCCGGGCCACCCCATTGGAAGCACGGCATCTTCAAGCAGCAAAAGGGCGATGTCGCCCCAAAACCACGACTGCCGTGGGTGACACCGGTTTTTGGCTTTCCAGGGTGGACCACCTGGCAGAAACCCTTGAGTTCCATTGGTGCAGGCTGCAGGAACACCGGTGTGGCAGTTGAAGCATGTGAACAAGCCGAGCATGAAGCCCGGGGTCGTTGAGGTATGTCCACGATTCGCGATCTCACGCGGACTTTTTCCCTCGGGTCGCGGACTGAGCAGTTCTTCACATGATGTGACTGGATGCTTTAAATGGCCTGTACTGCGGCACCATGCTGTATTTCACCATGGTGGGAAGGTGTGGAGTTCTTGCAGGGGTCCCGGGGGATTCGGCTTCGATGTGCATGGCTGAAAGAATGTTTTTTTGCACTTTGGGATTTCAGTGCTGGGGCGAGTTCAATATCCCCAAGGCCATCCTCAGAGCCCCCAGTCAGCCACCCCGAGCACTGTCGAAGCGGAGGTGTAGTAGTTGCAGCCGACCAAAACAGGCGGCGAACGTCGCACGCGCGTGGCCGGACGGCAAGGAGATTGAGGGTCCAACATGGCCCTTTTCTGGTCCAAAGGTCGTGCACAAGATTTGGGAGTGCCTTGAGGATATGACCCCCATGGAATATCAGCATCATACCGATACCATTACTAATGCACCTCGCCTAGCTTGGCTCGCATGTTGCTCATTTGGATCAGCTCGTTTGCTTCCGTCCTTAATTCACCCGTCACTTTGCGACGCGCCATAAACAGCTGCATGTGTTTTGATCGAGCCCTGAGTCCAGCCGCTCAAAATCTGCGCTCGGGCAACTCTGTCTGGTCAAAGTTTACCCTCTATACTCGTATCTCCAGATAGCCGGATTTGGGTCGTCATCGGTTGAACAAACGGATAGGATGCTGTTCTGTCCTGCAATATGGATTGATTTTGTGAGAAATGCAAACTTCTTCCAGGAAGGAACTACTCCGCCGAGGGCTTTGCAGCCCACTGCTCAATTCCTGGTAGAAGAGAAGCATTTTCCAACATTCGTGGGTGGTAGATGTGTTTGTGTGCAGTGATTTGGTCTACACATGTTTGTGAGAATCTCAGTTGCAAAATTTGAGAGCCAATGGGACTGGAATGCCAATGGGACTGGAATAGTTTTCAAATATTTTCAATATACGTGCATCTACCCGTTGAACATGACCCCAACGTAAGCAAATGTTCCAGTCCCATTTAGATGGTTTGGGAGCGGTGCTTGGTTTCTCAGAGGTAGGCCAGAAGGGCAGTGCACAGAAAGGGTATTGAAGAAACCTTGGAACTTGGAGCTGTTCGTGGACATTCGTGGAATGGTGGACCCTCATAGGATCTTATGGGAAAACAATATAACGATGACAAGAACCACAGAGACTTTCGCAGAACTTCGGCACTTTGTGGAGGTATTTTTTGATGCACCAGCTTGCTAGTATTTTGCTAGAACCACCCCCTTTCCGCACACAGCCTCCATCTCCCTCCCAGACCTGTTTCCAACAGGAGCTTTTTTTGGTCAAAAAAGACTCGATCAGAAATTCGCCGGCTGCAAAATTGCTGGTGGCAAAGGCCACTGTTTCAGCCGTCCAGGCGGTCCTTCGGTGTCGGATGCGCGAGTCTTGCGGTCATGACTTGCTGGACCCTGTCAAGACATGGCTGCAGCTTGGCAGACTTTTCTAGCAAGAAGGTGTTAGCATGGCAGCATCCAAACAGGCAACCTGCAATCACCCACCTAGAGAGGCACCTTGGAAGACACCCGCCAGGACGCTGTTCAGATGTTTCCAAGCCCTACTGTAGGTGATGCAACCCACATATAGTCACTAGTCAATATGATTCCCCCTTAGTTTGAAGGAACTAAGACGAATTAAGTCCGCCACTTTGGGGACTCCACTTGCTTAGCTGGCGCCTTCATTGACTAGCTCCTAGCTGCTGGACGGAGGTCGGGGTGGAGCTTCATTGAAGAAGCGCTCACACTATTCAGTTGGTTCCCCACTAGCTTTTGTTCTTTTCTTAACTGTTGGGCAGTGGGTAGGAATCGGAGTTCTCGCGCTTCTTTTGAGGCCCCGACGACGCGACATGTGATGTCCTTGAACTCTTTGGCACGCTGATGTGGTGCCATTGTGCCACTAGGATCCACTAGGGTATCCAAAGACTCGAGGATAGTGCCAACATCCACTCACTTGTTGGGGTCCAAAGATGTGGCGAACACAAGGAGCTATGTAATATGACAATATATGACAAGTTGCTGCCCCTTTTCCGCTGTTCTGTTCTGCTTTAAAGAAAGATGAAACAATGATCATTGACCTGTTCGGCCAGCTGCTGATGGCTCGTGTCGTCCAGCATCTGGAAAAACAACGTCTTCTCGGCGACCGAAGGCCGCGAGAAGCGCTCAACTCTTGTTGATGAATTTGCGTGCTCGGCCTATGACTTTTTCCTCTCTCAGATGTCAACATGTGAATCATGTGAACCACATAGTCACCATATACTGTAATAGTCACTACCAGTCACGGCGTTTAAAGATCTGAGAGACCTGAGTCATTGTGGCGGGTCATTCGGAATCCCGTACCGTGCGGGGAGGTGTGAAAAGGGAACTTATTTCATTGTTTTTGAGTGAACTCTTTGATTTGTTTTTTGGCAAAACATGCTCAACATTATAAGTTTTGGATTTTCGCCTTCTTCAATCTTCAGTTCGTGATTCTGCACTGGTGTCCGATCCAGTGACCTTTTACAGGCCTGTTTGTCACCTCAAAGTGAGATATCAAAAGGTCACGTTGAAGAACCAGGTTCAAACGCGTGTGTCAACACTCCTTTGTGACGATTCACGCCCTGGGGAAGCTGGCATTTGGAGCAGGGGAGCAGTGAGTCAGGTCTTCGTCATGTCTTCATATGATGGAGTGGGTGGACACTTTTTATCGCTGATCGACTGGACTGAGTGCTGGAAGTGAGTGCAGCATCCGTATAGTGCTTCTATGGAGGCCAACGTTTGACCTCAGTGGTTCGTTCCAGGCACTCACTTTCAACCTCCCCAGTTTTTGGTGAATCAAAGCCATCCGGATCCGCAGGCTGTGGACGGACTCAGGGCTGACATGGTTCTTAAAGGGCATCCAGAACCATCCTCATCGGTGCAAGCTGGATCCATTTCCACGGTTTGCCCATTTCCGGCTCAGGAATCTTGGCCTTGGACTGGGGCTTCGCCCGGTCAAACATGAAAACTCCTGGTTCCGAACGAGATTCTGATTCTGTCACGTGAAGCTCTTCTGGGAGGCATCACATATAGCGGCTCGTCTTCGAGCATCCGAAACATGTGGCAAGTCCAGCCTCCCGAGATGGATAGAAGAGAACTCCTTCACACTCTTTGACGTTGAAATTCCGGAAATTCATCCAATATCTTTCAAGGAAGCCTCCAAGAATCCTGGGAGCATCAATAGGGCAGACTTGGGCCTTCTGTTGCGATCCGGCCAACTCGTTTTCAACGGAGCCATGGAGTGCTGTGGGAAGGTGGATGACTCGCTGCCGCAGAACGTGGTCGCTTGGACTGAATTCTCTAGACTCAGGTGGATCTCCAAACACCTTCTCAGATATCATGACCCTAGAACGGGTTACAACATATTCCAACCACCATTGATTGAATCACATTGAAGCGTACCAATACCTCCCTCAAGACTCATTTCAATATCCGCAAGTCAACTGGGTTTGCAAAATCGGGCTCAGGCGATAGCCGTTTGAAACAGTGCCAGAGTAGACGGAGACCTTCAGTGCCGGCGGACACCTTATATCTGATATATATATATATATAGCATGCAATTAATTTTGAGGTTTTCAACGTAGCCTTGTGGCAAAACGAAGTGTAAACATGTCAGGTGTTCAAGCATGGTATCCATGCTTTCCCCGAGTCTCTTAAGTTCCATTCCTCAGTGCAAAGCAACTTTGACTATCCTACAGCTTCCTTCTGAGGTGCCTGTTGGCATGTGTGTGTCGCTCGGCTTCTTTTTTTCCGGAACCTGCGCAGCGAGAGAGCTCCGAAGACAGGTTGCAGTGGTTTTCTATGGAACTCGCCAAGCCTACAAGATCTTAGCTGTATAAATGGTGGTTTCCTATCCAAGGTTCTAGGTTTGGGTGGAGGAAGGGTCCGAGATAGCTCTTTTTCTTTGAGGGCTGTGTTGCAGTTATTCACCTCGTCTAGTAGTTGTTCCGGGCTGAGTGGATCTGAGTGGATGTGCGTGGATTCGACTGATGAGTTCATTTGATAGCATTTTGCTTGCATGTGCAAGTTTTATGTTCACAAAAGCCACCAAAATGTCCCACCGGGACATTTTGGGTCAAGTGACTTGCAGTGGCCTGAGGGGGCCAGGCAGGGTGTACTGGGCATGGGTGAGGGGTTCTGCCTGACCCACCCTTACTTCGAATCCCATTTCAACATCCTGTGATGAAACAGACAGGGGTCAGAAGAACCATGCACTACTCCAAACTCCTGAGAGAAAAAGGTTCTGCAGATCCTTTTGGAGCTTGGTTGGGAGACTCTTGCTTTTGAGTACATATGAACATCTTAGCAAGTCATGCGATTGGAGAGCCTTCTTTTATTAACAGGATAATATCTTCAGTTGCACTGAAAGTATGAGACGACACCAATGAAGCCTTTTTAAGCTCAATGCACAGCATTGATTCACACTTCCAGGAACTGTATAAATAGTCTATTTACATCATATATAGTGTGTTATTTTTTTTGCGTTCTTGCAAGTAAAATAGCATACCAAAGAAATACAACCCTTTGTGAAAATAACTCTGCAGAATACATGAACATAGATAAGAATGGGAGCTCAAGGGGTGGAGCGGAGATTTTAAACTATGGTGATTGATACATATTTGATCATATTTGTAGGTAGCGTGCAAATGGTCCCTGCAGAATTTGGGAATTTGGAAATAGTTCCAGCATGACCCCCCTGAATACACAAATTGCAATTTTGACAGGCCACAGCACCTTTTAATTAACGTACAAACAAGTGTTTTCCAAAGGCATGTTCCTATTTTAAGACATGTTGGTCTCCATGTTTTTGGCACGCACCATGCATCCGAAAGCGCCTGAAACCTGCACCTTCGCCCCCAATGGTCCTTCCGCTTAGGGAAGGGCAAGTGGAGACCACCCTGGAAGCATTGGAGTCTTGGCTGAGAGTTTCAACCAGATTAGCTGGCTCGTGGTCCTAGATGAGAAACACGGTGCAGGCATTTTGTTGGCCATGGTAAGGTTCTTTTGCGGGGAAGCTGGCTTTGAACGACGCAGCCACGTTCATATTGTTTGTGCAGATGTGTTGGATTTTGCCATTGGTTAAGCGGTGTGGATGTTTCACCATGCCCCGCCTGTACGTTGTGAACCCTGCAGCACGTTGGGAACCCTCGATTTTTACATGCAGTGGACTGAGAATATGATGGACCAGTTTGTGTAGGAATGTAATTGCTCATCAGGAACGTAAAATATGCTGGGATGTCCTGGTTGTGTTGATGTTTTTTTTGTAGTTCGTGAATCCCCTCCCCATCCCCTTCTGTTGAAAAACATCGTTTTTGGTCAAGGTCTTGCCTTGAGCAACGTCAAACGTCAAAGCTAGCCTTCTTGGTATCCAAATGTTCAGGTCCCACACCCGGGTGTTGTTCGTTCGGGTATGGAACGACTGACTCATCGCTAAGACCTAGACTGTGTTCTTGACACCCCTTATGAGTGTCAAGATAACAGATAGATCAAAGTGAGTGGAACCAGTTGCACACAAACTCTGCGATTTCAGGGTGTGCGTTTGGACATCAAGTCCGAATAACTTTTGAATGCTGACTTATGACAATATGACAAGTTTTGCATGATGCATCGCAGACACATCACGCCACAGAATTGCACCCCCTACTGATAGATTAACAGTGTTTTTTCAGGAGCCATGCCATCCACCGTAACCATGATCAGTTCACCACCAGTGTTTGGGCTCCATGTGGGTGTGCACAAGAAAGACCTCCTAACGACCACCTGGAAGAAGGAACATTTGGACTAAAATCCACTGGTTGGGTGTCTACCTAATAAAATCCACACCCATGTGTTCCTCTTGGTTTCGAGTTTCATTGGTTGTCCTGATTGCTTTGCCAGCAACACATTGGCTCACTAGGCTTGGTTGCAGTGGTTTCAAAGGTTTGATGGCACTTTTTTCCCCCAAGATGTCCTGAACAGATGGGGGTATCCTACTAAACCACCGAACTTGGACATTTGTGACATCAAACTTCTGAAACCACTGGTTCTTCATAACCAAGGGAATTGCGACTTAGATGACACATGTTGTGACTTGGATGCCAGTTCCTCTTTGCGTTAGGACGCCAAGCTGGACAAGCTCACTGCCAAGGTTGACCATTGTGTCAATGAGCCCCTCAGCATCCGACGGGGTGAGGTAGATGTTTTGCACTGGTTCCATCTCGAGGAACCTGTTTGGATACTCGTCACTTTAGGGTGACCATGCAATAACCTGGCCGTAGCTGCTTCACCACGATTTTTCACAGTTGGATTAGAAGTCGTCGAAGACAGTTCGGGAACCTTCTAGCTAATTGGCCCAAAATGACCAGTCAGGAGTCAGCATGGTCCCTCCAACAAACACATCATATGGAAGTGGATGGCATTGCCTTTGGAAGATGTTTTTCGCGGGCAAGCAGGTGATGACAGCTTGCAAAGTTGAAAGATACAAGAATACCTAGCAAAAAAACAAACAGGCAATCCTCCACAATGTTGCACAATTATTGAGCAGACTTTGTTGTTGTCCTGTTTTGTTTCTTGCATTGGTTTCCCGCCCTTGTTTCGTCGGTTGCGCGTGTGTGCTATGTTTGCACGTTGCGCGTGCTTTATCGTCTTTATATACAACTTTCCCAACTAGATTCACCACATGGTTTCATGTCATACTCATCTACCTCTCTATATACATACATACAGACATTTCCCCCCGCATTGCCGGCCCGTTTTCCTGGTCACTCTTCCAGAAAACTCCGCTTCAGCACCGCTGTTCACGGTGCGGCACGGTCCCAGTCCCAGGTTGTTGGCCTTGCGCCACGGTCCCAGTCCCGTGCCGAACCACCGCCGGTCCATGGTGTCCTCCGCTCCGATGCTCGGATCGGAGCACCGGGCGGTGGCGGTGGCATCGTTGGGAGCCACAAGGGAAGACGTTTGTGAGCTCACACCGGCTGGATATTGACCAAAAGTTGGGGGATAAGCAGCTAGCTAGGGTGTGGACCGTAGAACCACCACTGTGCTGGATGTGTTGGGGATTTGTTGGAGAACTACTGGATGTTGTTTTATTTATATATGCCTGCTTGGGTAGAGGAGGTCAACTCAAGCTTGCTTGGGACCTCGGGCGCTACTACGCTATGCCTGCAAAATGAGGGTATGGTCCAAATGGTGGAGAACCACATTTAGAGCTTTCCCAAGGACCGGGCCATAGAGTCTGTTTGATGCGGCGGAAAGGAAAACCACCTGGGGACCCCATCTGAGATGGGTTGGAGTTCGATACTTGTAGCACCACAGGATTTGGTGTCTTTATTTGGGGCCCGGGCGAGAGATTCTGGACTGGACTGCGGAGAAACTCCAGGCCTTTTAGGTCAAGGAGCGCAGAACCTTGAAACAATTGCTGACGGACGATCGGGGTGAGACTGAGCTGATCAGTCAAGGCAATCGAACTCTGCCAAATCCATTCCTACTGGAGGTGAGCTATCATGAGCCATCGTATTTAATCCAGCTCCATCATCCTGCCTCCCTCCACCCTTCTCCAAAATCCCAAACCCTCCACTGACACATCTCCACACGTCCCCCTGGAACCACCGGCCGCCAACTCCATCTCGGTTGTGAAATCACTGTGCTCCCCTGTTCAATCACTGCAAAGCCTTGGAAATTACTAGAAGTGCTCTGTCGTGCTCCAAGACTCCCACATGTGGTCGTGCAGTCACTGTCCACTTATCGTGATGAACATCCTTGGATCAATTCCAGCCTCCAGCATTTCTCACTGCTTCCCGTGCTGATTTCTCACTTCTTCCCTTCCTCAGGAGTGCTTTGGGCCGCAAAGGCTCGTTGGAATCCCTGGACGTCCGCGCCCCCTCCGCTGCGCCAAGCCGGCCTACCTTGGGCCGTGGGCTGTCGTCGATCTCCATGCGCTCGGTGCCCGTCTCGGAGCCGGGCGTCTTGGCAGCGGGGACGGAAAGAAGAGCTGCTTGGTCTAGGGATCCAGTCGTACCTTCTCAGGTACGGTGAGGAAGGTGACACCCGCGTCAAGGTAAGATCCCTAGGGGTTAAGAGCCGATCGATTAAACGAAATCGCCCAGGTCCGAGGCTCCAAGGTTAGAACATCTTTTAAGTTGTCTGATGGCCCCCTAAGCCGCCACTCAGTAGGTATACATATTATATATCACCCTGGAAAGTCCAAAGGTCCAACACGCAAAAAAAAAAGGCATCCTGAAGTCTTCAGGAGTCGCTCCTTAACTTGTTGACCTAAGAGACAGGTTCAAATTGAAGTTTAAACATGACTGGACATGAATTAAGCATGTTGCAGCTTCGTTTCCCAGTTCCCAGCTGTGGAGAAGATCATTGGACATTTTGAGAAAGAGCTGGACCCTGGTACCCTTTCCTTCCGGTCGCGCTTGTTCTCTTGTTTCCTTCCGGAAGGTCCGACCGGATCATTGGATGGTTTTCTTCCGGACGCGCGGCAGCCACACCTGGCTGGGGACCTCCAGCCAAGTCGTGTGGGACAACTCCAGCCAGATGACCTAAGTCGTGGAGCTCCGGAGTCCTTCGGGGCAGGTTAGAAGCTTAAGCTAGGAGGCTGATAGAACACCGTGTTTACGGTATACAGCGTACGCATATCTTATACATCTCATATACATCTCGTACACCTCTTAAACGCACGGCAGTTGTTCCCTGAACTGCAAATCTGGGACTCGCATCACCGGCTTCCACCAGCTGCACACAAAAGGGTGCGGCACACGGGGCCCTGCCGCAGTGCCTACGTCGAGACGCTGAGGAGAGCATCCCTTTCGCCGGGGCCCACGCATGTCGCAGAGGTGGGTCCCAAACGTGTTCTGGGTGGTGATTTTCAGATACTGTTTAATGTTCAATCTCTACTTGGGATGATTGAACCTACTGTCTAGTATGTTTCAAACGAATTGAAACCACCAAACAGTGTTTCTTTTGTGTGTGTGTGCTTTGTTTGATGTTTTCTATTGGCACTCTGGCAAGGGATTCAGACATCGTTTGTTAATTGGTGGAGGAGCGATGACTTTCACCTTGAGAACTTCAGACCCTGTCGGCAGGTCCAAAACTCTAAAGATTTGTTCTTGTGCACCCTGCAAAAGTGTTCACACTAGTTTTCCCTGGAACTGGTGAGGCCATCAGACACCATCAGCTTAAAGAGAACCCTCGCAACCCCCGGGTGGCGCCATCCGCAGGTCCGACGCCATGGAGTCGCTCTTCTCCAAGCGCGGCCCGGTGCCCCGCGACTCGCTCACGCCGCTCGGCGGAAGGCACCGACGGGCGTTTTCGGTGGCGCGGTTCAAGCGGAGAGACGGCGACAGAGCGACAGACGGGGAAGGGAAGGAAGGTGGGGCAAGGTGGGATGAGCCAATGGCAGTTGAAGCATCTTCTTGAGAAGGGGAACATCTTTTGAGTGACTCTGTCAACTGTGAGAAGACTCAGACATTCATATTGATGGCCTCCAACCTAGTAGCGATGGCCTCCAACCTAATAGCGATCTTCTTGAGAAAGGGAACATGTTTGAGTGATTCTTTCAACTGTCAACTCCACGTTGTCCACGAGAATGATGCTGTGTCACAAGACAGACAGCCAGGTGTGTCAGGTGGCGACCAGGTGATCTCAGGGTGGCTAGTCCTCAGCAAAGCATAGCTACAGCGAAAGCGTGCCCATTTGGCCAGTTCGTTGATAGCCCCTATAGGGCTTCAGCCCTATAGGGAGCATTCGCCAGACGAGCACAGATCGTGGACCTCTCGACTCCGCCATCTCCAACGCCGTGCATCGTTGACCGATCGATTCAGTTATAAAATGGCCGCCAGGGCCCCCAAAACATGGTCTCGACCACTTCTTGCACGGAGTTGCTTTCTTTGTTCCAAGGCAAAATTATATCGGATGGAAAACAAACATTAGAAAACACTGATGTTTTGTTTATTTTTTTTTGATGATGGAGAATGATGTGAGTTCATGTCGAGACGCTTCTCTCAGGAACCATACGGCTGGCAGAAGGCAAGAGTCAGAGGTCAGCCTCGGCACCTTGGTTTCAAGGCTTTGAAATGCGCGGTTCCACGGCGCTTGGAACGACTTGGGAGAAGTTCGCTCTTGAAAGTCTGGAGGAAGACCGGAAGTGCGCAGGTTCGAATGGCATCAAACCAAGAGAGATCAACTAGAGCTGCTTCAATTCAAGGGCCTCCACCATACTAAAACTAATTTAGGATCATGTTCAACTGCTGCGCTGGTCGCCCAATGATCACTTCTTTTTGAGGATTGTGGTTTGCTTCTCTTGGGTGTCGACTTCCATCGGTCTTGGCTTACTCAAAGGCTTGACCTTGGCCTACCTTGGCTCAGAATTGAAGCGGTTCCTAAGGGACCTGACTCCTACATCATCCTACATCCACATCTTTTCTGTCTTTGGGACTCCTGGGACTCATCTGATGTAGTGGATTCCAGGCTTGCCTGGATTCCACTGGGGATTGGATGAAACATGATGGAACATAGGCCATTTGAAGAAGCAGAGCTCGTGCGAGACGAGACTCGATGTTCTCAGCTGCGGGGCTTGGGACCGAGGCGTTTTGAGTCCAGGATATCAGAAAGGCTCAGTGGTTGAACAACAGTTTTATTCAAAGAATTTCTCTGGAAAATGGTCTGAAGGCATCCGTTTTTGGTTCACCTCCATGGTCGTTTCATGACCCAGATCTTGGAAGAAGATCGTGCAGCATGCACTTGCTTCATATATAATGCAACTGGGCAATTGGTGCCAGGTCTTCCCGAAGACAATGAGGCAAATTCCGAAGGCCGCCACCATACATATACATGACATGATCTATGTCATTTGTATAGTAGTAAGTGCATTGCATAACCCCAGGCGCCCATCTAGCGTATTTTCAACCAATTCTCCAGGTTCCATGAGTCTTCTCACACGGTCAGCGACTCGAACGAGGCGTCACGCCACAGTTGCGGCGGAAGGTGCCCGTGCGCTACATTGACCTTCGGATGGCTTGGCAGAACTACGCCCGTGAACAGCTGAATCAGGCGTGAGGGAAACAGCACAACCTTTTGGCTGCTTCTGTTTGGGCTCGTGGCCCAGATCCTCAGAAGGTAGGGGCTGCCCCCCTGACACCCGTCCCAAATTCCGTTTTTGGGGGCGGGGGTGAGGGATAAGATGGGATAAGGCACGGGTTCTGAAGGAAAAGATCCTACAACCTGGATTGACCATGGGTTTCCTTAGCCAAGAAGGGTTCTTGAAAGGAGCAATCAGGAGCTAGGGTGCATTTTCCCTTTGGTAGGGAGCAAGCGAGAAGAGTTTCCAGTGTCAGCTGGGCACTGAGGGAGCAATCTGTGATGCTGGGGAAGGTCTGAGGCCCGCCAGGGTGGCACCCTCAGACCTTCCCCAGCCTCACAGATTGCTCCCTGGCCAGCAACCAACTCATCCACATTTGCCTCGTTACTTCTTTCAGCCAAACCGGATGGCTTGCAACGCCATTCTTCAGGAGCTCTCTGATGAGGGCATGAAGCCCTTGCAGCTTGGCCACACCAGTGTGGACGTGACGGATGCACAACACCCAAACAGAACTCCCACTGCCACACCAATTGGATCGGGGGAAAGCAAAGCAAAGATTCATGGACCCTACCACAATCCAAGCATGGATCTCATAAGAAAGAAGTTGAAATGCCGTGGCTATTAGGGTGAAATGCATTGAAATAGAGAAATGAGAGTCCAGAGAGAATTTGCTTCGCTCGTTCCTTCCCCGTTGGGAAGGACGCGCCCTTCCATTGAACAGTGTATAATGGGCAAGTACTGGCACTGGTAAGCGCAATAGAAGACCTTTTGAAGAACTACACAAAGTCAGGTCGAGCCAAAAGCCTTGGCAGGAGGTCGAGGTCCACGCACGATTCCTGGACCCATTGGCCGATGAGGATCCGAATGATGCATCGCAACCGTTGTGATGATTTGTGGGAGTTGTTGGATGACCCGCTCTCGAGCAGGCCGGGGTGGACAGGGAGCTGTGGATAGGGAACAGGAGGTCGTTGCGAGATGGGAACTTTGATCACCAGAGAGATCAATCTTTCTATTGTTCCTTCACCAAGAAGGAAATGCAAGATATTGCAATATGCTGCTGTAGGGGACATTTGTTGAAACAAATCCGTAGAGACGGGGGCATAAAAGAAGCCAAAGGTGAGGAGCTCGGCTTCACAAGAAAGCACCATGTCAACAAAAATCCAACTTGGGTGTGCTCTTTTGGAGAGTCCTGGTTTGATGAAGCAAGCTATATATCAAGAGTTTGGAGGGTGCTTTTTCGGGCGCAAGCAGGCCCTCCCTGTCCAAGATGTACCTCCAATTGGTGTTTGCTTCGACACCATGCGAGGTGCGTTTATGGCAAAAGAGGTCCATCAGGAAAGATATGGAAAGAGACCAAGTCTGCAGAGTTTCAGGAATGGGATCACGTCAGCAGCCACAAAGACTGGAGTTGGATGAATTGTAGAGCTTGTAGGGGTGTCCCAGGGTGCATGTGGCTTCCACATGCTGGAAACCCAGAAGAGAATGAACTTCTGCCTTTCAAGTCGAACGCGATCCCCTCCAGGTGTGCCTGGTGGATTTCCCAATTCTTGGCCTGCATTGTCATGGTGACTTGAGAAACATGTCCGGGCGGGGTTCGCCGGAACTCGGCCGTTTTCACCGTTCTGGAGGGCATGAGGGTCGTTCCGGTCGAGCGCGAGCCGCGGACGGCCAGCCAAGCTCGGCGAAGCCGCGGAACCTCCTCCAACACGTGAGATTTAGTACCCCAAACGGGTAGGGTAGCTTTTGAGCACCTATAGTTGGGTGCTGGTCGCTTTGGTTCCCGGACACCTGCTTTCTAAATCAGATCATTTTGCTTGGGCTCCGAGTACCTTCGTTTCGAACGGTGTTTTTGGGGCCCGTGCCACAAGGATCCCAATACCTTTTTATTTGAGGAAGAACGATTCAGAGCCCAAGCGGATGATTTGGATGGTAAGGCTTACCTGGTATCCAGAACGATTCAGAAAGGTCCCTTTTGGTTCGATGAAAACCACCGAAAGCTTCCGGTCGCGATCCAGTGAAGCCCCGTTGATCTGCGGGAAAGGATCTAAATACAGAACAGGCCGACCATGCATGGGAACTGTATAAGAAACAATATGATAAAACATGTATATATATATATAGAATACACAGTATAAAGACGCAAAGTGTCAAGTTCCTTATGGTTCCTTTGGTTTTGCCATGCCACACGACCGGGGAAACACCGAGGGGACTTCTTTGGGTCGATCAGCCGAGCGTCCCGAGCATCAGCCGTCCGTTCTAGGCCAGTGTCATCCTCTCGATGCTGGGTGCAGCGGAAGAGGTGCCGAGACGGGCGGAGGGTGGACACTGGACCCCTTGGGTACCATGAAATAGGCTGGTGCCCCTTTTGGAGTCTCAGAAGGTCAATATAGTTAAAGAATGTCAAAGAATATTAAGAATGTATAATGGTTATTATGTGTTTGCTCGGTGTTTTGGCATGAATCACATATGGTCCCCGTGTGTTCAATCATACCTTGTTCTTGCTCGCACTGGCTAACAGGCGGACGTATTTTTTCGGAGGCCGCTCGTTTATTCTCAATCAGAAGCAGGGATATCCAACCCAAACGAACTTTGCTGTTGCACTTTGCATATGCTGCAAGGCCCTGATGCTTGTTCTGGTTCACGTAGAAGTTGTGCAATTCTTCCTTGCCACTGTCAAGCCGCATGCGTGACACCTGCCTTGCAAATTCTAGGCAATTCTTTGACACATGGATTGGAGGTGCACTGAGATCTTTGAGCAACATCTGAGGGGCATCTAGGCACATCGATTTTTTGTATGCTGCAGCAGCTAAGGAGGCACCGTACGTGTTTTCCGCACCGGAGGAGCCGTTGATCAACGCCAACACCGCAGCGGTGCTGGAACTGTGCCTGGATTGCTTCTTCTTGCTGGAGTCCCGGACTGCACCTAAAAGAAAAGAATTGAATCTTTGAAAACAACATGCCGTTTTTGTCCAATTGGATTCCTTCTATGGTGGGCCTCTCCAGACTATGACGTCTGGCAAGATCATGAGATATCATGAGACACGAAGCGCAGGAGGGCAGTTTGGGTGCAGAAATGCGCAGGCAGACCTTGCGAGATGGTAAAGGAATTGATCTGGTGATTACCGGGCTTTCGAGATCTTCGCACGACCTTGTGAAGGGCTACAATTCCTAAACCAAAAACCAAAGGGATCCACCTTAAGAGAACCCACTGGGGATCAGGATTGGAACCTCAAAGAATCGACTCGGTGTGCGTTCGTCTCAGACTCGACTTCACCGCAGAGTTCGGATCCGAAGATCAGACCCGAACCTCGTGTGGTCGTGTGGGTACAGATGTCTAGTCGACAGGGAGACGATCCGCTTTGGTTTGGCATGTAGACAGGCAGGTGAGGAACTCATGGATTAAGGTGTTGCAGCTAGTCGAGTCTGACATGGAACCCATGCTGGCCGGGAGGGCATGGTGCGACCCATGTAGGGCGGACCCCTGTTTTTTTTCTCAAGAAGTTGGAACAAAAACATTCAGGGGAGTTCGGAGTCATAGCAAATGTTGCTACCATTTGCTACCAGGTATTTTTGGTGATTGAATGTATTTGCAAAGCAAGCAGGGGGAACCAAGGCCTTTTGAATTGAGAATGCCCAACTTGGACCTTGGACAGGCCTCCCATTCGCCCTGCGATGCCACCGAGGAATTTCTGTGCCGCATTTTGCTCCTCGCATGGAATGCTAACGAACAAACTTTAGCCGCATAGGAGGCGGGGTTGAACTCATTTCCCACTTTCAGGGTAGGGCTCGCGCATGTTGCTTTGAGGGACTTGAGCGGGTGTGTTTTTGGTGGGTCGGAGGGATTGGATGCCTTGGTCATTCCAATGTTGAGTCATTCCATGGGCTCAAGAATCAGCCCATCAAGCTGTGGAGAAAAATCCATCATTGCTGAATAGTTCGATGGGCACACCATCGACCCATTTTTAGTTGGTCCACCTGTCTGTACGTACCTTAGAAAATGATGAAAATGGGTACAAGTATATACCTATAGGGGCATGTCCCATTTTCTAGAGTACGAACTGAATCAGTCCACGCACTGACTACAGGCAGCCGTGGCTACAGACCTTGAAGCCAAGACTTGGGATGAGAATGGCCCAACACCACCAAATTCCTTCCTTACAGAGAGCGAATCCTGCAGCAGAGTTCCCTTTTTTCCTGGGTCCAATGCACGGGTCATGCGTTGGTAGTTGGCTGCATCGATTCCTCCTAAGTGGAGGATCGGTGTGTTTATAGCATCCTTTCTGCAGTTACACTCACCACGCCCTACTACTTGAAGCCTTTGCCTTTGACCCTGAAACCTGTCCATTTAAGAGTGAAAAGCATGCAGACACCTGCACTGCTGGTGAAGCACGGCGGACTCTATTTTGTTGCTCATCCCCAGACACCCGACTGGCATGTGTACCGGAGTGGTTTCCGGAATGTAATGTACAGTAGTAGTAGGTAATTTGTCCATGTGGAATATAATGAAGTCGTTGTTCATGTTCTTGTCTTGGCGGCCAAAAGGTTATGCCCCACCTGACAACGACCCAAATGCTTCTTCACCCCTTCCGACACAGGCGCCGACACAGGCCGCCACCGTTGTGTCGGTCGCTGTGCCGAGGTCTGCCCCATCGAAGCGAAGCTACTTGTCGGATCCTCTCAATTGGCCAGACATGTGCCTGGGCAGATCGCGGAACGCGTCCTCAAACTCCAAGGACCTTTGAGGGGTCAATGTAGGCATATATGACAGACATGGAGTGTTTGGGTTATATAAAGCAACTAGCAAGAAGCTACGCACGGTGGAGGCCATGGCTAATTAGCTTGGAGGCCATCGCTAGTAACAAGAAGCCACGAACGTAGCTATTTGATACCACCTGGTTTTTACCACAATGGTTTGACGTCAAGCAGACATGAAAGATGGGAACTGATCCGGACTTCAAACGTTGGACGACACTGGGGGCACCTGACCTGACCTTCCTGCATTTCCCTCACCCGGCGCCCTTACTCACCCATGTTCCTGGACCTCCGGACTTCCCCATTTCGATCAAAACGCGCACCCGATCGTGGGCGCTTTTCCTCCTGGGCGCTTGCGTCTCAGGGTCTCGGCCACGGGGCTGCTGATCCGTGGCGCCGCGGGCTTTGTCGTGACCACCTCGATGACGCAGGGCTCACGCCACTGGGTGAGGTTTGCCGGTCACTGACCGGTGACCATCTGTGACCAACCGGTTGGGTTCTGGGAGCTGAATGGGAATGGGAAGGGGTTGCCTGGTTTTTGCATGATGCATCTTGATGGAGGTGTGCTAAACGCCATAGGAGTTTTTGGTGCGTAGGTTGCTTCTTTTTTTCTTGGTTTCTTTGGCTCGGCTGTTTGGGCGTTGGAATGAAGTCGCCTTTGGGGCACACTGGCACACTTGCACACAACAGTATAGGCACCACACATCCTTCTGTCATTTGTGTGTTCGCCCATCCTTCTGTCCGATGGTCCATCACTCTTCACGTTCAGCGCACGGTATGGCGGTTTTGGAAACGCATGGTATTTGGCGAATGGGGGGCTCCATCAATGTCCCCAGGTCCGAAGATGCGCTGACCGCCGTACGCTTCGTCCCACGATGTCCACGGGGTGATGTATCTCGAGTCAACCGCCGACATCGTCTCCACTTGGAGAGGTGAACCTGTAGCCAGTCACTGGTGTGACCATCAAACCCAGGAATGTTTCGCTCTAAGATGTGTGAATCACTTTGTAGCCCAGAGTGCCAAAGAACGCGGATTGCGTCACCACGTCGTAGGTAAGGCATGCAAGGGATTCCAAACACAAAACATCACTGCCACCAAAAAAATGCAAGGCCATCCATTCTTCAGAGTGGCTGTGCCACATACGGTTTTTGCTACTGTATAAGATCTTATTTAAGTGCATGCTGTGCACGCTGTGGTTGCCAAGGATCAATGGTGGTCACCCTTTTCCTGCTGTTGCCTTTGATTCGCTTCTTAAAGCTTCTTCGCTACTTTGTTCCTCGGTTTTGGCAGCCGCTGCTGTGTGGTTCGAGTTCGAGGGGTCGAATGTTCCTCATGAGATCGCAAGGCTAATCATGGCTAATCAGAGTGAGGAAGTTGGCCATTTTGGCTAAGAAGGCTTGGCTTCTGGGGACTCTGTGAACACCCAGATATTACATGGTCCAAAGAGGTGTAGAACACAGGGGGTTTCTGGATGCATGATATTTCATGCGAGAACGAGGGATATGACGAGGGCAGCATGTCAAGCCGGTGCGTGTCGCATGGGATGGGTCGCAGAGTCGCCAGACGCTCCACCGTCGGACCATTCAGCCGAGGAAAGCGGGTCGTAGTAGCCTCACTTAAAGCCCTGTGAAGCAGGCGTCTCAAGGCATGTTTTTTCTCTCAAGGCGGGACCAGGCAGAGATTAACCGATTAACCTGGCCAAGTGGATCCAGGCCAACCAGTGGTTCCAAAGACTATCAAATACCTAAACCGTAGGCATTTGTAAACCTAGAAAAACTGGTTCCAGGCTAACCCTGGTTAGACTGTAGGCTAACCTGGTTTCATTCATATTGGTTTCTACGCCAACTTTTATTATATCTGCTATTTATTATTATGTGGTGTTATTCTTTTCTGTTCTTTGCTATCTAATATATTTTAACCCTATATTAAAATAGACTCTTCATCCTCACCGTCCAGGACAGAATCGCCAGGCTCCCAGACCAACCCAGATGTTGTTGTCCAAGTCTTCAATCGGTGTCGGGGTTGCAGATCGTTTTTGTTCCAACCCTGAGATCATTGGACCTGTCCCAATGCCGCATCCGACCTGGCCAGACCCAGTGCATGTGCTGCACAGATGAACACCGACCGGATTCCGGAGTTGCGCCTCTTAGGAGTCCTTCCGCTTACTCATTGATGCCACGCGCAACAGTGTGGAGGCCCTACCCGTGCTTTGCCCGGAGGCCCAGCGAAAACGCGAGGCCGGTTCGGTTCTCACAAAAAGGGGCCATGGAAGAAGACAGGGGATGGGTGGGGCCTTGTCCGAACTTACCTGGAACAGTCAGGTTTCACAAGCAAATCACTATTTTTGGACTGTTGGCCTGGTACCTAACCATCATCATATTGAGTGAGGCCCAGGTAGACTCGGATAGATAGACCCAAGGTATGGGTCAGTCGTTTTGCCTCCACAGCCTTTAGTCTCCATGGAGCTGTGGATTGCTTGGATGGCCCTCCTCCTTGCACTGCCTGGTGGCGTGAGTGGATGGCGTGGCCTCCGATGTGCCAAACCGGTGGTGCCATCATGTGCCATCCATTTTTTCCATGAGTGAGAGTTAGGAAGAGGCTAGAAAGAAATATATGCAACTAAACAATTCTTTGGCTGTCTTCCTGACTCAATTGCATGATTTGAGGGCTGGTGGGTATACATCCAGCACGGCGACCGCTGGAGCGACCACCGCTGGTGGACCAGGGAGCCCAAACGGTTGATCAAACGGTCGTGCTTGTCTCCCGACCCCTTTGGCCTCCAACGCAGTCAGGCCATGCCTTTGTAGAGGTGCGGTACCGGATGCAAGCACTCCTTTTTTGCATCCGAAGCGCCATGCTCCAACTTTCGTGCTTTGCGCAGAGTTGTCCCAACTCATCCCGGTAATTTCCACGGGCCAATTTTGTTGGTTGCCATATCAAGCAGTGTCTCATGAGAGCAGTAGTTGTGCTTTGCACATTCAAGTTCCTGGACGACAAGTTATATGGGATGTGGCATGATGTACAGTAGCTTTTCAAATTGATCCCAAGTTCTGTTAATGTCGTGCATGCCTGCCACGCGAAAATCTCCACAGCTACATGATGCCGTGTGCGTTCATGAATATGTCAAAAGTGATCACAGTCCCGCCCCTCCAGGGACGCCGTCACCATGTTTTTCTCCTTCACATGGTCAAAAGGAGCACCCCACAGACTCACCGAGTGGAGCAGCTCCCCACCGTTCACCTCGTCGCGCCCCACGTCCCGTCCCGCACTCCACGACCCGGGGTGGTTGATTGACCCGGGGTCCATGTCGCCGGTCCGGTCTGGGTGATGTGACGCCAAGGTTACATCATGGTGGTTTTGTGTTTGAGCTCTGCCACGATGATGTACTTGGCGGATGCTGGGATGAACTCATATATATATATATATATATGCTGCATCGCCATCGCCTCAAGAGCTTTCGACAAACTTGGTTGTATCAGGCTCATAGCTCTTTGGTTGTCTCAGGTTCATAGCGGTTCTTTTTTACAGATTTCAATGGATAGAGTTTGAGCTTGTGTATGTAACTTGAGCTAAGACCTCCCCATGGGGTTCAAGGAAGAGTAAGGTTCTCATGTTTGCTATTTTCTCACAATGCCACACTCGGGAGCAACCAATGATGTCGTGTCATCTCTACCTGAGGAAGAACGTTCCAACATCCCCAGCATCTACCATGCCATGTGGCTGGCGATCGTGACTATGACCACAGTAGGCTACGGCGACTACTTCCCGACCTCTTTGGCGCCGAACTTAGATGGAGAGATGGTTGCAGGGTGCAAACGGTCTGCTAGCCGAGGCCTATACAGTATGTGTTGCAATTTAGGAGCAGCTGGCTTCTTCTTTTCCCAGCCATGAACTGCAGCCTCTTATGGGATTAGTGCACGTTCCTGTCAGCCATTTGGTTTGCGGGTTTCTGTCTCAGACCGGCTACATCGTTGCCTCGCTCCTCACCTTTTCCAGTGTGCTCTTCCTGGCGCTCCCTGTGGGAATCATTGGCTCCTCGGACCTCGCAACGTCGACCCGACCGACCCGACCCGGCCGCCTCGAGATATGACGGGAGATAGGCGATCCGAAACGAGCCAGCGATTTCTGGTTCTCGGAGCTTCATGAAGTTGCGTCATGATCTTTATCAGCAAGACCGCTCCAAGAAAGAAGTGGATCATGTGGATCATCCTGCGAAACTGTTCATGTTCTCCTTTCTGAGGGTGACACTCTTTATCGGAACCAGTGGTGCTTCGCCCTCCGAGCTCGTTTTGAATTGACCTCGTGTTGCCCCGGAGAACCGGCGAGTCGCTGCACCCAGCTCCCGTTGAAACGGGAGTAGAACGTCGACTTGGCAGGTCATGAGTTCACTCAATCCTGGCAGCAAAGGGGCCAGGCACGCATGCTTTCCGCTCGGGGACGTGCTGGAAAAGTGGAGACGTGCTGGGGGACAATTCCATTGGTGGGTGCCCAGACTCTCAGGAATGTTCAATGCAAAATCCGTACATTGTTGGTTTTTTCCATATACACATATACGCTCCTTCAAGCTGGCAAGATGCACCCGCACCTGCCAAAAGCAGTCCTGATTTTCGCTCCCTTGAGGGTGAATCAGCTAGTGCTTGATTGTGCGAGTGGTTCCACCTAAAGACAAACGAACGCATATGGAATACGTTTGAATGCGTTTTCCACTCGAACAAATCATTGCAACGACCGAAACAGGTCCCAACACCCCGCTGGTCACACCCGCGGGTCAGTCACAGAGCGACGTGGAGAGTGCTCTAGTCATCGCGTCGACCTCGACCTCGGCCAGGTCTTGTTGAAGAATCGCATTCGCCGATGCATGGTCAAGTGGGGCTACAGTGCCAAGGTGGGGATCTGGGGATCACAACACTTGGAGAGGAGGAGGTAGTTTTGCTTCTTGAAACAAGACATAAAAAATCATTTGTGTGTTTGTTTGTTTAATGGTTTTGTACTTTCCACTGTTTTGCGGTACATATATATAACTTTGTAACCCCTTGCCCTTTGCAAGATTTGATGCTACGGTTGAAAGATTCAGTCTATTTCCATAACGCAGTGCCCAAGGGCATGGCAAGTGCATACGGGCTTATATATACTTGGACCAGCAGAAAGACGATCAACTGACTCGAGCATATGGGATTGAGTGTCGCACAGTTCAACACTTGTCCCAGAATGCACTGCATAATACTTGTAATTGTATTGTCTAGATCTCATCTGAAAATAGCTTAATTTGATCACCTCCATTTTGGAGATCTATAGGCGGGTGATGGTATAGTACAAAAAGGACATGAACAAACCCGTCATCAAAAGTACCCTTTGGATCCCTTGCTTTGAGGTCACTTAGCCCTACCACTTGTTAGAGACCCCCTCAAAAAACAAAGTCGCGTTTGAAGGAAGCTGGAGTGTTCTTCCCCACAGATGTGCCCCGCTAGGATTTGCGCATGCTCATTGAGTACGTGGATGTGGACGGCGATGGCGTCCTAGCCCTCACGGTGGCGTGACGGCGATGGCTGGGAGTGGAGGGAGAAAAAGGTGCTTCTCTCAGCCCGGCCGTGAAATCCTAAGACCGGCCGGCCTGAGAATGAGCTGATGAGCTGCAATACGTTCATTAAGGGTTCAGCTTCGCGCTGTCAGCCCGGCCGTGAATCCCCCGATGTGGATCAACGTCGTCAGCAGTGTAGTCAGCAGTTCTATCTTGGGCGGTATTTAGCTGCTGGAGTTGGGTGTTTGGAATTCATAACAGTAGCCGTAGCAGTAGCATAGCTGGTATAGCATGCTGTAGTACCTGGATCGGTGCGAACTTGGCAAGTGAATTGTATTGCCTACCTTGTTTGGAAGACGATCCATCCCAGACACTCCATGGGATTGGTATATATGTGCCTACTGTGCATTGACCCCGTTTCAACCGCCCCAAATCATTGACAAATGATAAATATTGATTTGAAGTATTCTATATAGTCTCAAGTCAAAAAAATATGACTTAGTATAATATGACTAGTCTCAGGGCATGTTCAAGGGTACTCACGGCTCGAGGTCGGATACGAAAAAAAACAAGATCCGGAATCCGCCCGCGTTGAATCGTGACGGGGTGTGACCACACACTGATTGAACACATCAACTTGTGCTTTTCCAGAACAAGACCGCATGCTCAGAAACAAGCTAGAGTCCTCAAAACTGGTGGATCGACTGTCATTGCCACTTGATGTCAGTCTAGAAAAAGAGATGCCAACTTGTAAGTCATGCGCGAGGATCGCCCCTATGCCCTATATATCTTGGAGCAAGGGGGGATGCCGGGGATGCTGCTCACGACGAGGTTTGTTAACATTAGAATCGCACGTTGTTTGATACATTCCTTTCGGCAGTTGCTTTGGATTCTGTTGTTTCCTTCAGACGCTTGGTATATATGCCTGCTATGCTCACAAGCCGGTGAGCGTCTCTTTGCTGAGGAGTTCTTGGAGCTGATGCGGCAGATGAGAATTGGGATCACTGCTCAAAGCTCCTTGGGCGGCGAAGCTTTGCGGGCTGCATCCCCGGAATCCAGTCACCCAGACACGAACCTGTTCAGGCCAACTACGGGATGATGGGACACGGAATGAAGGTTGAAAGAGACTGACTCAGATGATTTGACCCAGAGGGAAGTGAGGAGTGAGGAACATGTTTAGACAGTTTCCCGTTGTTTGGTTGACGTAGATGATGTTTTCACCATTTCCGATGATTGTGGGATGGTCGAAGTCGAAGGTGTGCCTTTGAGCCACATCTTGGAAGACCGCCGCCGGTAGAAGCAAAATCTTGACACGCTCAGATGCTCAGTGACGGTGATTGAACCCTTTCCATCAGCCCAAATGGTGAGCGTAGCAGAAGCTGCCGTGAGCCGATAGAGACATGAAGCACTGTGAGTTGGAGGTCCATGATCTTTGATCTCGAATTGTGGACAATTCGAGATATAGCTTTCAATTTTTCCCAGAGTACTTTGAGTCAGTTTTCTTGGCGCTGCTACGAAGAGTGGACCGGTAGCAAGACGATGCGGCTGCTGCTTCCTCAGCAGCTTTCTTCTCTTTATCCTCTTTCCTTTTTCTTTCATCGGCTTCTCTATGCCTAGCGAGTACCTCAGGACGATTGCAAAGTTGCCAGAGAGTTGCCGACAACCCTTGGCCTGGACACCGAATGAACAGATTCCTGAAGCTTTCAAGGAGGTTCAAGGAAACGAACAACTGTTACAAACGGCATTTGAGATCGTCCGTCGCAGGCGGGCAGGCAGATGGTCCCAGTAATACTGCAGATTGTCCAGTGGTGGGAGGAACACCGCGAGCTTCCTCTTAAAAGTGCAGTGCCCTTGCAGCGAAACCAAACTTGCAGCTAGCTACGGACATTGCGTTGGTGCTTCTAGGTGTACTACCCATAGCTGCTACCACCCTCGCCCAACACCTGCGCCACACTTCCCCAACACCTTTGCATACTATTACCTTAGCCACACCTTCAACAAGGTTCAAAGCTAAGAACAATCCCTTGCCACACTTCCAGCCCGCAAAAGCAAAGACCACTGCACTTCAGGTGCGCTAAGCTACTATGCTGTGTGTTGTGTCTTTTTTTTCGTTTTTCCGTTTGCCAAGTCTTTGTTCAAAGGGCAGACAGATCACTATAGGTGGCAATAGGTGGGTTCAGAAAACACCCCCTTTCAAGTCGGGTTCGCAACACCTGCGCCTTCCGAGCCGGGAGTGGTTCTCTCGAACGAGCACGACCAAGTTGAGACCCTCAAAGGTTGGGACCCTCCCAAGAAGCCCCTTTGAGCACCCAAGGGGCGCACTTGAGCATCCATTCTTTTGCAAACTTCATCCATTCATTCCCCGCGTGTGATGCTATTCAAAGGACATATATTGCTTGAGCTACAGGAAAGCTTCTCAATCACCAGGATGAACAAAAACTATATATAGATATGGCGGTATTCTAGGGGTACTTATATAACCTTTTCCTGTGTTCAACGTGTTTTCTTCAATCTTTAATGGAAGTCTACCTGGGTTTTCCGTGCTTTCGAAAGCTCAGGTGCCATCGATCTATTCATGGCCTTCGATGATGATGCGAACGGTGCCATGCACAGATGGCCTTTGACGGTCCTGCTGGGTTGATCAATAGAGGGGATACTCAACAATCAATACATCTCCTTCAAGACTGGCTGACTGGCTCAATTCCCAAGTGGTTGTTTTTACTATAGGGATGGGCCAAGACTGCTGTCTTGGGAATTTGAGCCAAGAGTTCTGAGGGGGATATAGGGCATATATGGTGCCAAGTATGGTTCGAATTCTGTCCGAAACAGGGGCCGTGTGGACCCGTTGCGGGCCCAGATCGGTGGGTCGAAGATCGTGACCGGACCGCCATGCCGCTATGGTGATGTGATCAAGTCGTGGTGGGATCCTCACCTTGATCGAGCTTGAGATTCTTGAGACGGTTCTTTTCCTTTTGGGTTGGAAGTGGCGGTGGCGCAAGCATGCGCAAGCTATAAGAGGCATCTACTCCAAACCTGGAGGAATCCGGTCCACCTAATCAAGCAGAACTCTCAAAGCTATAAGGAAATATAAGGAACATTGGTGGTGCAGCCGGCGGGGAGTTGGATCTGGTGGTTGGCCGCAACTCAAAAGCTTCATATCAATATCACTCCATCTAGAGAGGCTCACTCAGCATACTACAGGATGTTCTTCAACTTCTATACCGTGTTTCCGTGATGCGAAAGCTTTGGCCTTTTGCCACTCTCAGGTTACATTGATTATGACGAGTTTCTCCGGCAGATCTTCCCTGAAGAATATGTGAAGGATGCACATTCTTGCCGATTCTTGCCGGTGTGGACGGGAACTGCCTTCTGAGCAGTGATGTGACAGAGCATCCCTTGAATGACCCCAAATTAGATCAACTTAGATAGAAAAACGACATTCTCATCCAAGAATGTGGAAGTGACTTGAGTCGTTTCGTTGTATTTGGAGACCTCAGTTAGACAGACTACAATAATTGATCTTCTCCAATACTTGCCTGGGTATTTCGATCCACCCTCGGTGGCAAAACTGGCTATACAACACCAGGTGGTACAGAGGCGTCTTGTTTGGTGAGCGAATTCACAAAATCCAGGTTGCCCAGAGTTCCTGGCAAGAGACCCCTTGCTCAGACCACCTGAGGATATGGTTGGAGCCCTAGGGAATCAAGAACCAAACAAGGATGAATGAGCGAACTTCCGCACTCAGGCGAGCACACAGCGCCGAGCGGACACAGGTGAGAACACACATTTTGAGCGAAGTACACGATGCGTGCCGCCCCGGGCTCGCAAAGAGCTTTGCATGGGCTCACAAAGTGCGGCGCCTTTAACCAAAAATGCTTATTCGCATCATTCGCAAAGAGCTTGGCCTGCCACGAAACAAGATTTGCACATTCACGGGGAGCTTTGGCTGCCACGAAATCTGCGCATGGACGTTCACACACAATGTGGCGCCTGCCACAAAATCTGCACATCAAGATTCACATCGAGCAGCACTGCCAATGCGTTTCGCAAAAAGGCACATTCACGATGCCACAATGAAGCTTTCGGGCGATATGTCTTCCAATTTCTGAAACTCGAGCCACATGTCCACAGTTCACAATTCACTGCACCTGCCACGAATTAAATCACTCCACACCACATCCCCTGCCCCTGCCACAAAAGGTCGAAATCAGACCACCAAAATATGTGATTCCCCTTTGCCTGCCACGAACTTCGTGACCACCAAGTCCGAACATGTGCCCGGCACCAGTCCAGGAAAGCGCCGCGGTCCGCGGTCCAGGAAAGCGCCCAGAGGTTTAGCCCAGAGGTTTATGCGAGCATGCGCAGTCGAAATGCACTTCGAAGATCTCGACAGACATGCTGGGAACAACAAGCGCCCTCGATCAAGCCCAGCCTGAACAACAAACCTGTAAGAACCTAAACAGTGTGACCACACTGTTTGGGGAATGTACTTTGTGACTCCAATTTGGGAAGATCATAAAAGATCACACTTTACAGGGCGGAACAATTGTTGATTGTTTTTGTTGTGTCACTCTTTGCTATGATATGTTATTTATCTTCAAACTTTTTCAAGCCATAGCACAGAACCATGCATTGTGAAAGGTCAGCATTACCATAATTGCTACCACACACTGCACGGAACTCAAACAGTATCTCAAAGTTAAGACTTTAACTTTGACAGTTATTAAATGTCACAAGTATATATTGTGTTCTTCCATTCAGGTGAGACTGACCTTTCAAAGGTTGCTATAGGCTACCGTCGCATTAGCCCCCCAAGTTGGACTTTCGGCTCCAAGATGCTAACTCTTGGAAGTCCAGTTGCCACAGTTTGGTGGTTAAATCTCGGTCTCCGAAACTACGACTGAGACCGCTTTGCGTTGTTCATTTGAGCAGCTACTGCATGTTTCAAGTCCAAACACCTATTAGCCATGAAGGATAACCCCCGGATAGGAGGGAACATGGTACACTGCCAAAATGCGTGCATGTGTTGGATGTTTTGATGCGGTGAGTTTGGGTGTGGTCCAGCTGCGCGTCGGGGAGTTGTCCAGTGGCAAAGACTCGAATTTGTCCAGCGTATTTGGTGAATTCCACCTATGAAGAGCCTCCATTCACAACATTTGGTTGGCCTTGGTGGTGGAACAGGAGACGGTGGATGAGCAGATCTTGAATGCTTATGGGCCACAGGCGCCATGGGCGGCACGGTCCCATCAAAAACTGCAAAGCATACTGGGCCAGAAGACCCGAATAGAAAGAAGTTGCCTCGGTGGCCTCGACTGTAACATCTCACAATCTTATAGCAATCATTGCAATCAGGGTTTCACCTGCAGTTGATCAATCAAATCCAGGGCTTTTTGGAAGGCATAGAAAAAATCGGAAGCTATATGAAGCGATATGGTGCTTCATTCAACAGTACAGGTGCCACCTTGGCAACGTTCTACCGGTTCAAAGCTTCTCGGTTCCCGAGCGGCAGCGAACGCGTCGTCCGCGTCCGCGGGGGCTCTTGGCGCGGCCAGGCCTCACCCGAGAGCCTCAGCCCGCCGGTGACCTCGGACGACTTCTCCCCCCACAGTAGGCCGGGAGGGCCCAGCGAGGAGCGACGCGACGAACGAACCTCCTGGCCTTACTAGTTTAGGGCGAAGTACCTCCTCAGAAGGTATTTGGACCCTCTAAACCCTCCCCAAACACCTTTTATAAGAAGGTACTTGGAGCCCTAGGGTAGTAACAAGAAGCTATTAGGGGATGGCATCGCGAACCGAACGGAGATCAGACGCTACGAACTGGGCTACGAACGGGGCCGGGAGGAAACGAGTAGCAAACAAATACCGTGCCAGGGGTCACGTTCGACGGGGTGCGATCTATGGAGGTTTTTTAGGGTGCCCAGAAATCTGAACTCACGTAAGGGGACTAAACACCACCCCGTCTTGTGACCCCTGGTGTGCAAAAAAAGACTTTCAGACACCTAAATAGCGACGGCCTCCAACCCAATAGCGATGCCCTCCCACCGGGGAAGCGGCAATGGGGAGATCCTGAGCCCAAGAGGAACTTGATTCCAACAAAGTGGCTGACTTAGATTTGCACCCGAGAATGATCTAAGTACTGATGGAATGTGATGGACACTGATGGACATATCCATTCAAAACGCGGGAGTTTGTGTACTCCGATGCACTCCGTATTGACGCAAAGCAATTTGTGTCCAACCACCCACATATCCACATGAAAGAGGGATCTCCAAGGGCCCAAGCGAGTGAGTCGCCACTTAAGTGAGTCGCCACAGAGGGAGAGTGAGAGAATGCCTCTCAGAGCGCCACGTGGTGTTTGAGTGGGGTCAGACTTCCTGAGAAAAACCTACTTTGTTCGATCGGATCCTATCGGCCAGAGGCCTCAAACCAGGGGTACGACCTCATGCGATGGGTACGACCAGGGGTGTGAGACCTCGCCTGTCGACCCGAAAGCAAGTGAACCTGACAACATGGACCCCCAAAAAAACAAAAAAACTGGAAATGGATGGACATTGACATGGGGGGCTTTGTGTGATTGAGAACTGGGTAGGTTTCACGCAAGCCGTCGAGCCGCTCCGTCAACTCTTCCTCGTTGGTTTTTTCAATTTCATCTCTTCATCCTCTCTGTGACCCAGAGCGGCACACCCGAAACCCTACCGTCGACCCTCCCCTTCTCGCCCGCCAGATCTCCGCCACAAGAAGGTGTCCTCATGGCATCCTCTCTTTAGGCCAGTCAGACGTCCAGCGGTGGACTCGAGCTCAGCTCGACGGGAGCTCTTCGTGAAGCCAACAGACGGAGAGAGAGAATCGCCGTTGGCTTCCTTCGAGCTAGTGATGTTGGGGAGGAAAAGGAGCTGCCCATTCGGTCGAACAAGTCCACGGGTTCGACCCTAGAGACCTCTCAGAGTTCCAACGATGCCCTGTGCCTTCAGCTTTGGGGCACGTTTTGTTTTCTTTGGGGCACTCCATGCGATAGTACAGGGTGCTGGTAGCGGTGCTGGTATGCCATTCATGTTCATTCATGTGCCAGGCTAGCCCCAGAGAGCCATTGACCCGGCGACTGCCAGGATTCCAGCGCATAAGCCAGATCATCGAAACTCTTGAGTTCTTAACACGCGATGGAAGAAAGCAGATCTTTTGGAAGGTTGGCTCAGAATGATGTGTCCACATGCTGCCTCCTCCTGGCCAGGTGTTTCCTAGAAAATCTTATAGAACTAACTAGCAACTAGCCACGCCGTTTGATTTCTCCAACCAGCCTTCCAGATGTTGCGTTATATAGATCTCCGCTGGGCAAGTCGTTTGTAGAAGTTCCCAGTCCAAAGCACAAAAGCAAACTTTGCATGCAAAATCCAGGATGGAAGACCCTATATAGCTGTCAGACGGACCCGTGCACGTACGTATAACAGCACGTCGATTCATGCCATGCACGTAGCAGCACGTATCGGTGAATCGCCGTGGTTCCAACGGCGTATTTGATCGCCGTGGTTCCAACCGGAGTTGAGTCGCTAAGGGGTTAACTTGTGAGTCGCTATATAAGGGGTTGGTGAGTGGATGTGGATGTTCTGGGCATCCCGATCTTCCGAGTTCGGAACGGAAGAACCGTCACCCCCGGCTTCGCTTCGACCTCGAAGGATCCGACGTGAGACCGAGAACTCGATTCAGCAGTATTGTATAAATAAATACTAAGACACTCAGGGAACTGGGAACTTGGGACAGGGAACTGGGGGCAGGGACGTGGGGATGGGGAACTGGATCCACAGCGAGCAAGCCTTGGTGCTTGTGCTTGTGCTTCTTTGAGATCCCAGAATGATGGGCCCAACGAATGGGATTTCTCGCTCTATTCCAGTGATTTCCAATTGCACTGCCAGCTGCTGTGCTCACACCCAGTATCGCCACCCACACGAGACACTTTGTTTAGCTTTATCTCCATCGAACTGCTTTCTCCGGGTTGTGAGGTTTAAACAAATACAGGCCGGCGCTCCTCAAACATATACCGGATGGCATGCTCCCGAGACGACTTTGTCCTCCTTTCCTCTGCAAACAGGGGGTGAGCTCCACTTCCATGTGATGTCTTCGTTTTCGTGTAAGATATTGTATGATAGCTCTTCCAAATTCTTCCAATGGGAGGTCGGTTGCGAGTTTGCTGGACTGAACTGCTCGAATGAGCAGCCGAAGATCAGGGGGGCCCCCTTTGGACCTCTCCGCTGCTCTTTTCCTTGCTACGCTGCGCTGCCGAAGTGCACCACCCATGCGTAGCGCATGGCCACGCGGCGCAAAGCTCTTGGCCCCCAAGATCCTTTCGATGCGGAGAACTATTGTCAACCAATATCAACCAATCACAAAAAACAGGAAATCTGGGGAATGACTGTTGTCGACTAACATATTGTAGAAGGAGAGCTGAGACGAGCCTTTGGAATGCGCATTGAGTGATTATTGGAAGCGAGCCAAATCCCCCATCCTGAGATCCGGCAAACACAACTCTCCCCCATGAGTGTGGCTGGAACGTGCCCAGATTCACATGTTTGCTCGTGCTCTTGCGATTTCCTGGCATGTTTGGGCCAAATGACAAGTCTCTAACTCCGACCAGTCGTACCGGTTAGTTTAGTGGCAGCGTTGCCTCCCAAATGTTCCCTTTCTCAAAATCAGCAATCGAGCAAGCTTCACCTCAAGGGCACCTACACGGGGCATAAAACCTCTTTCCAGCTGGGCCATGACGCAGCGTGGAGTTTCACCCTGCCAAATTTTGGCCGCACTGCGAGAAGACGAGGTCGCAGACAGGCGCGGTCGCAGACAGGTGCGGTCAACATTCAACCCAGCAACAATGGGATGCTTTAGGGGCGTTTGTGGCAAAACATGGTTGGATGGTTCTTAGGCCTAGGTTTGTGGACTTGTGCCTTGGCCATGTGCAGAGGATCAGACTCGCCATCCCACACACGAATGACCAAACCATTTGCAAACGGTCGAAAATTGGGAGACTACCCTCAAAAATCCGTTTTCTAGATTAATTAGGACATGGGAGAATTAGGTTCGTTCACTTCATATGATTGAAACATATTGAAACCTGAAACATCAATTTCCCCGAAGAGCCTGCGGCCAGTCTTCGCCGTTCTGGACGCCGCATCAACGCGCCCAACACAATGCCGCAAGCCACGGCGGATGGCGGGCCTCCTTTTCAGGCCAGTCTCGCAGTGAGGAGAGACGGTGTTCGGTGTTCGAATCCTAAGTAACCTGGACATTAAACAAATTAAACATCAATATACTTGTGGATCAGTTACTTTTCTGGATATATTAGGTGTTCGGTGTTCGGATCCTAGAACATGGGCCCGGGAAATGACTCATGATGACTCATGACCCTATATATTAAAAAAGAAACGGACATATAAGGTACAAACTGAGACTCCAGGTGCGTCAAAGTACTTTTGATTCGGGCCCATTTGCCCTGTAGAAGCAGAACATCGTTACTTCTAAAGCTCAGTGCTCGCCACGCCGCTGCAGTGAGAGTATGCAAGCTGCCCGCCATGGCGATTTGGGTGGCCTGCCAAAATGACTCGTGCGATGCGCGGCCATGAGTGGTCTGTGGCGCTGTGGGGGATGAATCTGACAGACCCAGCTGGATTCCACTACAACTCACTGATCCTGTGGGTATGCAATTGACTCCAAAGGTTTGAACGGAAAGTGGAAATTCCCAGGTGGTGCACTGAGCCTGTGGGTGTGATTTGAACTTTTTCCAATCTTCTCCTTCATGACATGGCAGGGGATTCACAATCCGTCTCCTTCCCGAGAGCTGCCAGGCATTGCATGTGTGTGATCAAGCAAGGCCAACTCAACCTCCAAAAAATGTTCTTTTCTCCGACCGAACAATGGACCACCTGCCGGTCACCTTTTCGGGTCATGGGTCAGGCATGAAATGGATGGCAAGCCAAAAATTGGACTTGGAGGGTAACTCTGTGCTGTTTAGCCAGGCCTTGGTTTGTTAAAATCCAAAAGTTGGAACAAGGTGACACCTTGTTTTTCCATGGGAAACGGTGGAGCAATGCCCCCCACACACCGTGGTTTGCAGACCGAAGGCACCCACCGCCACGTGATTTTGGTGTGACCAGCGAAGAGTGACCTTCCATGAGCTGCGGAACATGACAAATCCATAATGATTATGCCATACTGTAGACTCTAGTAACAATAAGCTACTAGGGGCTCCTGGCCTTACTACCAGGAGCAAGGGCATCGCTACTATATAGACTCTTGATATCATAACCCCCATGAAGAGGCATGGGACACCCCACAGGCGCTCCAACCCTCCGCGGCGGCCAGGGAAAGCCTTTAGAGTTGTCCGACTTTGAGGCCGCCCTTCCGCTGATCCTGCAACGCGAAGGGTGGGCGCCCCGGTGTCGGTGTCAGGCGGACGACCCACGAAGCACGGCTGCTCCCAGGATTGAAACAGGTTCGGAATCGATTGAGAAGGTATGGGAGATGGACTGCGCTGGAATATGTCAACCCTAAGATGCCCCAAGCAACATTGAATGTGTTGTTTTCAAACCAAACATTGGAGGAGTGTTTTGACCCTGCTTTTTGGCAGGAATTTGAAGCCCCAACACATTCACCTGACCCTCGGTTCTTAGGAGCTAACACTTGAGTCGGTCCTTTCCTCTCCGGGTTTTCCCATGGCCAGAACTGCTTGTGGTCGGCCTGGTCGGCTAGAGACTGTTTGCGGACCAGGAAACATTTGAGGGGATTGAATCATCAAATCAACAAGTTAACAAGTCAAATACGTTCTATAAACCGTTTCAGAGAAATGTTTGGGAACCAGACGTGCAGCAACAAGTAACAGCTTGCAACGTCATGTAGAAACTGATGGGTTGAGCGGTTGAACTTTTTGTTTTTTTTGATTCGGCATGGAATATGGCTCACACCTCAAAACCAGAAATGGTGGTGATGCTGTAGTAATTCAGTGATTTTGGTGTGAGCATTTCGGCGTTTCTCTACACACCGGTACGGATGGCTTACCAATCCTTGTTCTGGTGCCTTCTGAGTTCGGAAGAATGACATGGTGATGCCCACGAAAATCCCAACACCATGGACAAAAAAGAGTTACAGTGGCTTCAGAGTAGATGGCGCCATCCCCCAGTTTGGTGGTTTTCATAAGGACCCATAAGGAGCCCCCCATGTATAACAGACATCGCACTGGGGTGCTGCCATCGAAGCTCTGAAACCCCTGTAACGTGGATGGGGACAACTGAGAGGGTCAGGAACACTCGAATTCTTCCCAGGTCCGTCGACCTGATGTCGACCCACCCGAGCTTCCCCTCCACCCAACTCCTTTGGAGCGAGAGTGAGGTTGGATCGGTCGGGGGGGAGTTCATGGATCGGTGCCCCCTTTCAATTGAAGAGTTGGATTTTGAACTGGTTTCTTTGGACTGTGAGTTCCCCGAACCCTCACCACGTGTTGAACATGAGGGCTTGGGCCTTGGGGGGGGGGCCCCTCTCACGCCCTGAGGTTTTCCACCAAGGAGTATGAGGAGTTTCAGCTGCTGTTCACCATGAACGATCGAGACGGCTCAGGTGGGTTGGAAACAGGTTGAAATGCGGTTTCGATCAAGACAAGCGAAAAGGAAGGGTTTTAGAGCTGTACTATGTTTTACTACTGTTTTACTAGCTACTATGTTTCAATAAGTCAGTCTACATGATTAGACCTTCTATGACCTTGTCAACTCGCTTCCTATTGGTGTCAATTTGATTGGAGCAAGAACCCAGAACGTGTGGGCGCAGTTGGGGCAGTTGCCAAACACAGCCTAGCTTGTAAGCATATAGTATGATGCAGCATATATAGATTGCTTGACCCTGCTCTCTCTCTCTCTCATCCAGAGAGTGTCCGAAAACACGGCGAACGCGGCTGTTGCCCCACTCTTCCCACTTCCAGCCCATTGCCCAGTTTCAGGATGCTGATTGGATAAATAAACACCAATCTCGATTCAAGGCGGGGAGGAAAAAGACCCCCCAAACTGGTGCCGGGTGGTCTGGACTTCAAGAGCAGCTCAGCGTAGCCGCAGCCTTCTTCCGAAAGCACCTCAGGGTGTTGGGACAAAGAGGAGTTTTGTTTGGGGGGGTAGGGCATGTTCTATGTATACCAGGACCCTCCAAGGGGTGCCCTGTCTGGAAGCCTATAGGTAGTGTGGGGTAGTCCAGCCAGGACACCCCTTTTATCGTCTTGGAGGGTCCAGGTATATGAATTTTGGTTTGCAGGCTCTATGAAAGGTCCGTTTTCGGAAGTTTGGCAAACCACCCAGCGGCATCGACGCTTGCCCGCACCTCCCGAAAAGGCTCATCGCCTTGGGTCCAGGTGACGTGGATGTGGGTGAGTTGAAGGTGTGGGACCGACGTGTCAAGCGGACGTGTCAAGGAGACGGGTCGACTGGGATGCTTCAGGCGTTTTTGGACCATGACTGGGACCATAAGAATTAATAATTAAGACCAGAAGTCACAAAGGGGTGGTGTTTAGTCTCTAAGTGAGTGGAGTAGCTGGGCACCCCTAACCTCCATGGATAGCACCCCTTTGTGAATAATTAAGATGTATTTTTGTACACCTTAGAAGTCCAAAGACTATACATTTGGAACCGCTGAGGTCATTGAAATTCTTTCATGTCACCTCAAGACCCATTCTTCCTATATTGCAATATGCTGTTTTTGACATCCATATCTAATTCGAGTGCTTGATTGAGTTTGGAATTCCTTGCATTTCTTCACCCAAGCTGCAGTCCCAATTCTGCAGTCCAGCCACCTGATTCTCCACCCCTTCGTGGATTCGCATCGATCCAGGTGACAGATGTTCCAAGATCAGTGCTTCACATTCACCTAAAACTCATGGTGAGCACCAGAATTTCCAACGGATTTCCATAGTTTTGGAGTGCGGGCAATAATTGTGGTGACATGTGACTTTGTCGAACGAGGGCAGTCAACCCCCGTCTCATGGAAACAAGACAAACATATAAAACTTTTATTAAACAGATTAACACATTACACTTGGTGACACCTGGTGTTGGAGCCACTTTTCGGTTTCCATTCTTGCTTCCGTTGGCTTTGGAAAAGCAGCCTCATCATCATCTCGTTTCACGCGTCGATACCAGTCGATGTTTTTGCACCAACGACGAGCTGCCAGGTGATGATCCACTGGTTGGGCTTCTCCGCTAGCCACCTGGCACCTGAGCTGGCTCGAAAGGCGACATGGATCGAAGGGTGAACAGGATCGATCGAAGGGCTGGATCGGTGTTGAGGGACCCCAAGCAAGATCCACCACCTGCAGAATGTAAGTGTTTGGTGCAAGGCTTGGGATGGAGGATGTTTGGGGGGGCCCACGGGTTCAGCACCACGCCTTTTAGACGTTTTAGAAGGGGCCGGACTGGCCAAGCACATTTAGACTTGGGACAAGGAGTTTGTCATTGCTGCATCAAGGGTGTAATGTTCAGGAAAGATTGGTGTTGGGCGCTTGACCGCCCAACTCTTATGAACACCAGCACCATCCAGCACCATCTCCAATAGAACACAATTATATAAACTGGTGGAGTCTTAGAGAGGGGCCACCTTTGCTGGTGGACATGTTTTTGCTCCGTGGGTTTTCTAGCTTTCTGCGCTTGGGAGGTGGACCGCGACGGTAGCGGCTCACTGAACTTCGTGGAGTGGCTGAGCTTGCACAGCGTGGTGGGACATGGTGTGACTGGTCTTCTGAGCAAGCGGTGCCAGGTGAGGCTAAATGACTGAGGCCTAGCTTCGATGGAGTGCCTGGGTGGACGGATCAGGTAAAATACGCTTCCACTATTTTGGGGGTGAGCTCAAGGGTTGTTGCTATGTGACGTGTGTGTGACGTGTGTGACCAGCTGTCCTTAGAACCAGCTGTCCTTAGAAGAGGACTTGAACGGGTCAGCTAAAATGTACATCACCTTTCTGCTCGGCAAATACGGCTGTTTTGTTTCCCAAAGAATCCTTTGGACTCTCCATTGGGGGCCGGGAGGGGCCCTCCATAGCAGGGGTCTTGAAAGCCCTTCCCGTTTGAAGGTATGGCTTGGGGTTGAGAGTGTCCAATGCTCCGCTAACCCAAGATCTTCGCACGAACGCGCAACTCTGGTGTTCGCGCGCAAGAAAACCTGGGACGCAGGAACCTGTGGTGTATGTGCAGCTGTTTTCGTGGGTTGCTGGGAAAAGCAAGCTTCCTTGAGGGTGGAAAAGAAGTAAGGGTCCCGCAGTGTACACCAGACATTGCATAGATAAACAGAGAAAAGGCCTTAGTAGAGATTTCAGCTGAGTGAACGTCTTCTTGCCAAGATTCCAACAGCCGCGCCCCTCAGAACGACCTTGCACGGGGCTGTTTTCTGGCTGAGGTTGATTCATGCAACCCACCACTTGGCCAATCCAAAGTCGGGTCACTCCAGGGCGACGCACCTGTTTACCTACATTTTAATGTTGGGTCTGTCCTATTACCTGTGACAGTCAGTAAACAATATTATTTCTATTTTTGAACAGGGCCTTTACTAGCCATCATCACCCACTGTTACAGGTATTAGGATAGACCCAAAGTTAATGTATGTTGAAGTAGTAGCGGGAGTAGTGGTGGTAGTGGTAGTCGTAGTCGTAGTCGTAGTAGTAGTCGTAGTCGTAGTGGTAGTGGTAGCAGTAGTGGATATATATTCCAGGGCCATTGATCGTGGTCACTTTTTTCACTGTCCATAGGGTTGGATTTGGACCTAGCTACTTTAGTTTGCTGATTTATTCCACCAGCCAGAGATGGGACTCATGCATTGGGGTCCATATCCTTTCTGCTAGACTGCTAGACTGTCGACTGTCACGGTAATTGAGACCTTCGTAGATCAGAATCCATTGGTTTGCCGCTCCCGTCGAGTCCTGTCGGGACAGCATTCTCCGGCCAAAGTCTTTGTGTCTTTAGATCAAGGCGCGAATGTTCGGATTCATGATTGCACCGATTGGCTGAAGTTCCCCACTATAGTCACTATAGTGCCAGAGTCACCTGGGGGGGCAGTGAGTTTGGAAGGCTATGACCAGATCCAGCCAGCTGCGTGCCATTCTGCTTGATGCTAGCCTAGTGATAGGGGCTATAACTATGGCATGATTCAACCTCCCTACTGCATAGCTATTTGCAAGTGGCTCTAGCCCTACTCATAATTTACACCATTTTGCACCTGAGCAGCCTTAGCAGATTCCGCACTTTTCACCTCAGAACCAGAGGCGCAATGAACCCCACCATTGCCTTTTGCAGCCATGCCGCCAGTGCCTCGACACCCGCGCTCCATGCGCATCCGACACGGAAGACCGGCACAGTCTCCGTCCGCGTGACACGGTCTTGGCGCCGATGGGCGGTCCCTGCGGTCTTTGCAGCTTGGGTTCGGAGATGTTCGGATGGCCTTCCCAAGGGGCTGTGTATCGAAGACCTCCCAAACACCACCTGGGCGAAGGAGCTGATTGACCAATTCGGAGTTCGCTCGAAAACCGAGCGATCCCATGTCGATCCATTTTGCCTATCAAGAGGTTGTGTTGTTCCCTTGTTTTTCATGTTGACCCAAGCAGTCCCCCAATGGAATTGACGGACTCTTGGCATGCAATTCCATGAGGGCTTTTGCTGGGAATGTCTTTTCGTTACGTGATAAGAAGAACACACTCGAAAGCCCCTAAGACGCTGTGTATTTGGTTGACCCCAATGACTCGAGTCTCAGCTTCTCTCAGGTCCTTCCACTGCCAAGGCGCAGGCGCTCCGCAGACGCCCGCGCTGCGTGCGCCGTGGAGGCAGAGAGGTCGAGAACGCAGTGCACAGCATCCAGTGGTGAATCCTACTGTAAGAAATCGTGGGCACACAGAATCAATCATGCACTCATGCACCATGGCAGCGATGATAGTACAGCTCATCGCTGTCGATGACCAGATCATGTCAATGCCAAATCATCCCAATGTCCTGGACGTTGGATCGATATCATCCACAGAATGATGTTGGGTAAGCATTGGGTCGCTTTGGTCACAAACAAACAAACAAACAAACACAAGTGGTGGTCAACCCTCGAACAAGAGGGTCGGATTGGTAGGGGGAGATAGGGAGTCCAACTCTTGTGAAGCTCTTGCTGCTTTGCAAGGGTTGGGTTGTCAGAAGGAAGTAGACCGGCGTAAAAATGTCACTCGACTTCAGCACAGAATCTTGAGCTGGACCCCGCCATGAGAAGCCGACCAGAAGCTGTTGGGAGGTGGCCGACCAGAAGCTGCTGGGACTCAGTGATGAGGCAGAGGAGAAGCTCAAGAAGCTAAGGAGATGCTTGGGTTTCATCAGTCATGGGAAAAGATGGGTCTATGTTAATATTCTAAGATGAACTTTTGATGTACCCTTCCCACACTATATATAGACTTAAGTATAGACTCAGTTACTATATATTATATAAAGACTGATTTTGCAGGGTCCTATGCGTTTCCATGCATGCAATATTCATTATATAAGTTGTTTTCTATCTCCACGCTTTCTCATCAGGACATCTCAGGAAGTGGTGCTTTTGGGTCAAGGAGCAGGCTTTGCGGTTGCCGGATCCAAGTTGAAGACCATCAACGGGGAGGGACCTCCAAAAGAAGCGTGAACCTCTACAGATTACAAGATAAATGCAAACTGGACATGAACATTATTTTTCATGTCCAGTTTGCACTTGCCAAGATTCAGACCACACACAGATCATATTGGTTACATCCGTCGGGGGTCTTCCACCCCTTCCGCCCACTCTGGTGAACTCATTGGTTCACAATCGTTGGGTGGATGGAATGCTCCAAAAGGTGGAGGAAACCGCGTGAAATCAGTCATGGAACTCGGGCGCCCCCTCCCGAATGGCTCCTCCAGATATCCGCAGAGGGGGGACCATAGCATTTCCATGCTTGGAGCACAATGGTATCTCAAGTGGATTGAAATTCCTGATTCCCACCTGAATGCCCGTAAGATCCCGGTCTCCAAGTACCGGAGGTGAACGAGGCTCAATGGCAGTGCCTCTCCTAGTCGCCCGGTCCGAGGGCTGGATGCGTCGCCCCGACTCCAAGCCGCCGCCATCGCCGAGCTGTTCCCCTTCGACGCTTGGAGACCACGACGGAGGTTCCGCGGCGGAGGTTCCCCGTGCGGAACCCGCGCGGGGCGCCCGCGTGGAACCACGGAGAAACGAGACATCTTCACCGGTGCATGGGATCGATGGAAGCAGAATAGGCTGCTCCTTGAGCAGTTGTAGCCTTTTGATGCATGGTTTATTCTTCTGTTGATTAGTACTGTAGTAGAGCGCCGCCTTGATGAGGTGGATTTCTTGATCCGACCTGGGGTGATGGGAGACGTGAAGTGAGAGCATAGTGAGAGCATTGCATTTGGCATGATCCAGCTATACTCGACTGCATCGGGCAAGGAAGGCCCTGTATTACACTGTATAGGGCTGAAGAAATGTTTACAGAAGACCTGTATAGTTGAGGTCTTTCGGTGAGCCTGGGTCATTGGGAGGCGGCCTAGTCACAGAATGAGGAAAACCACCAGATAGGTGACAGTATCAACGAAAGGACTGACTGAAGCCACTACCTTCAGTTCAAAACAGTTCTACCAGATAGCATTGCATTGTTTTGGCATTGCAAGCAGCCGCCCCAGGAGCTGGATGAGGCCCAAAAAGAGGCAGCGCGGCAAGTGGCCGAGGGCAAGGACCTCCATGTTCTCAGATGGTTGACCTGGTTTTGGTCGCATGGCAAAACAACGGTTGGACGTCTAGGGCGCGCTCTCAGCACCTGCAGGATGTGCTTTGCTGCTTGCCCACAGGCTCGGGCAAAACTGCGATTGCCATTGCTGCAGCATGGCAAGCCCTACTGCAGGGCGCCTTGGCACCTTTGGAAACCTTTGATGGGATACGCTGATGAGGCAAACGGTTGTTGTTCCTGTTAAAGGACTTGTTTTCCGTCTATATATATAATTGGAGGAATGGAATGGAATGGACAAAGCCAGATCTTACTTCTAGGGAGGAAGCAACATAGACACTCCGAGTGGATCCAACGATCACGACCTAAGGCCGACATCGAACGTGGCGCTCCGAGAGGGCTCCAAACTTGGCCCCCAAACCAGTTTGATGCACTTCTTAAGCCATTGGTCTAGCCAGTATAACCAACATGTCCGTTGTGCTTTCTTCCAAGATCTCCAAGCTTTGGCTCCAAAACGTTGGGTTCTTTGACCCTACCCTGTGAGTGGATAGCCTGCAAGACCTGGATTCGAGGATCAGTGTTTCCCACTCAAATCCCACTCACCCGTGTCCATCCGTGTCCATCCGTCCACACACAGCTGCTGCGCGCTGCCTCCTTCGCTCCCTCCGAGGCGCTCGGATGATCTACACCTCACCGCTGAAGGCCTTGTCCGCGCAGAAGCGCCGGCAGCTGAGCGACATCTTCGGAGCGGAGGCCGTGGGCTTGGCCACTCGGTGGACGGTACGAAGCGGTAGCGAAGCGGTAGGATCCCTCGGGATAAAGGGTTACATGGTGGGAGAAGATTTTGGAGGTCATTCTGTATCATATATGGAGAGGTGGGAGCTGGTGAGCGGGGTGCTTTGGACGCCATGGATATATTTTATCATGGCGAATCTGAAGTGCAGTGGCGCATAGTGGCACCTTTGGTTTACACATTTAATCAAATTATATCACAAACTATAACATGATAAATGATATATTAACATATATATATATATATTATGCCAATAATAGCAGAGCAGGGAGAGTAGAGAACAGCATACACTACACACTAAACATGTACTTACTCATTGACCTTCAAGACGCCTTGTTAGAAAAGAGTCCGCGCAGCTCCGACGCTATGAGGTAGTCATAGGTGATCATCAATTGTTTTCACTGCAACTTGCTGATTAACACCTACACGCAGGTTATCAGCCGTACCTGCTCTGGGTACGAGCTATTGAGAGACCAACAGACATTGTGACCGTCTATGTCCAGCTTTGGTGGGAATACGAGTGAAACCTATTCCTTTGCCGCTCCTGGAGAAATATGTCACAGTCATCTCCTGACTCAGGAATCACAGGTGCGAGTTCCAATGATGCTACCATTGTCACGATTCCAACCAATTCCGTGGTATCTAGAGATGGTTGCCCCGGAACGTGAAGCTGGATCTTTGTCTAGAGCTAGGGGTGTGAGGAGAAGTCTCAGAGCCCTTAGGTACTCCCTTAGGTCTACTTCACCAAGGATGGTTCACAATCGATTTCCAAAGAAAAGCATTGAGAAAGTGAGGATCACCAGCGGTAGCCCTGACCACAGAGAAGCGAGCAGAGAAGTGCAACTACTGGAAGAGCTCAGATCATCGAACGTGGCTTATCAGTTTTTGCACGAAGAGCATTCAACTTTGCAATCTGGATGCGCTGGCCTACATAGAGATCCAAAGAAAGTTTGCGAATGTGTCCATAACGGAAGAACCATAGAGACAAGACTGCAGGAAATGGCTCAGGAAGACGAAGGTGCAACCATCAGAATTGGAGAGCTAGAGCACGAGCTTCGACTTGCTGAACAGATGGCAGATATATAGAGCTATCCGAAGAGAGCAACGAAGAACGGTCAGAATTCCATGCCATGAACCAGAAAATGGAAAATGTGTCAAGTGAACTGCACGGAGCAGTCGGACAGATCCATCAACAAACGCAAAATCCCACAGCAGTGAATATGCATGAGCAGATGCTGAACAATGAGAATGCAGCCTTGAGACAAATTGGCAGTCATCTAAAATGAATTAAAATGACAGATGCTTGCTCTACAGGATGAACGTGAGTATGTGGGAAATCACTGCGTTGGAGCACGAGAAACACTTGCAGAGTGAACAACAACAACAACAACTCCAGCTCACGGATGAAATGTCGCAGGCTAGTGTAAGTCACAGTTATGAGAAGATGGCTATCGATCATCTCAGAGCACAAGTGGCAGCATTAAGAGCTAGTGAGCACAATGCACATGCTGAGATCAATCAATGAGATGCAGAAATCCATGCAGAATCACCAAGTTATCAGATGGAAGTTTCGGCGGAGAGGACGAAAGCTACATCTACAATATGAAGCCAAGGTATTGAGATGGCCTTTTTACTTGAACCATGACTTATGAGTGGGACAAGTGGAGTTTTTCGTCGTAGTAACATCCATGATAACGTAGTAAGTCTTACGAAAAGATGTAAAATGTTATCGGACTTATTCACAGAGTTGTGCTAGTTCTCCGTAAGTATGACTAAAAAGGCATGTTCTAGTTATTTTCTACTTATCCTACTTATGGGGAATAGAGGTTTTGAGGGTGGTCATGGCAGGTCAACCTTCTTCAAACATTGTTTTTCGTTGAGCAGGTTGAACAGCTTGGCTCAACTGTAAGCTGTGAAGGCAGGTTTCTTTGTGTGTGAGACTTGTATGGAAGACCCCTTTGTCTTTGGACGAGGGTTCTATATCCGTCGGCAGACGGATGGACGGACACTCCTTTGTCTTCGGACGAGGGGGGCACATGTCTGTAAAGACCCGCTGGACATTCTATATTCAACACATCCAAACAAATGGGAAAGTGAGATATTGGTCATGATTGCGCGGAAGAAAGTCAATCTATCACTTCAAGCAGACAAGTGGATGAGAAGGATCGCAAAGAACCCAAATCCGAACGTATTCATCTGGCGAACAATTGCAACAAGCAATCGACACATATGGTTATGGAGCCTATGGCCTATGCACCGGGGTTCCGTGGGCAATACCAAGCAGCAACATGGTCGACAGAGGATATGCCACATGCAAAGCACTGAGAAGCACCTGAGATATCCAGACAGACGCATGCTGATAGTTCAACATCGACGTCATCATCGCAGTGGCAGCTGCAGCTGAACCCTAAGGGCAAAGGCAAACCAAGATCTCACTCCAGAGGACAGGATGAAGGAGAATACTACCAATGGCGTGGTAAAGGATATCACAATGGCATTTTCCCAACGAAGATGGTAAACATTTACCGAAGAAGAATTTATTTCCACACGAAGCCAAAGAGCTCCATTGCAAAGCCATATCAATTGGAGTTGAAGCCGCGAACATGGAAGCTCATCTTCGGGACTACATCGTGCTAAAGAAGTACTGAGAAAGTCTCTGAGCGTGGTACTTCAACGTCCACTTGAATTAATTTTCTCACTTCAGGGATAATTGTGTAGAGTTATGTAAAACCCGCATTGTTGAGCCAGACTTTGTAATAGAATTTTCAAGATCTCGCAGCAAAATTCATATCTCAATCTCTCGGCCCTGCCCTTGCATTTTCAAGTGACGCACGGGAAGTCAAAGACGACCCAAGCATGGGGGTTGCCAATAGCAGAGCAGCGAGAGGTGTACAGTAGACATGTACATTCTCATTGACCATTTTGGCTCAAGACGCCTTGTTAGAAAAGAGTCCGCGCAGTTCCGACGCTATGAGGTAGTCATAGGTGATCATCAATTGTTTTCACTGCAACTTGCTGATTAACACCTACACGCATATGATAATATGATATTACTATTCTATATATATGTGTTTAATTGGTGTCCTCAACGCCTTTATCAGGATTCCATATCCCCGACCATTCTAAGGCCAAAAAATCGAGCAGTTTTCTCTACGTGACCTGCATGAACATTGGTCTAACTCCTTGGTAGATGTTGGATAGCCAAAGGATGAACTCCGTCCAGCTGTGGCAGAAATTGTTAGGCCAAGATTTGTCAGTTGGACTGGAGTTCCACAGTTTCCCCCATTCGACTACTGAGCCCGGCATCTTTCTTATATAAGCGACGGACAAAAATATTGGTTGACTTATATATTTAGTCACAGTATGACCCTAAACCTATGTTGAGGGCTTTGTTTTTGTGGAAAACGACATGGTCCTCGCCAACGGTTACAATACGATATTGCAGTTGCATGTCTATTTGAGCATATTTGAGCTAAACTGATGGGCACAATTTTTCATCAATGATAACCCCAGACAACTTCCCAAACGATAATCCAAACGATAAGCGAACGATAACCTAAATGTCATTCCAGGCACTCTGTAGACCTACTTGTCCACATTACTAGTGTTTGAGTTAGTGTTTGTTCATGGGTCGAGCTACTAGGTCCCCGCTTATGTGTTGTGATCCTCGCACAGCCCAGTGCCACAAAAACCCAAGTGCATAATTCAAGTGCTGTGCCATTCTTGTGCAGAAAGCACTGTAAGCCTCTAATCTGAGGTTGTTAGTTTTATTTTGTGTTTTCGTCTATGTGCCGGCATGCTATGCTAACTACGGTTTGGAGAAACATTGGAGAACGATATGGGCCCCACCAAAAACGATAATCATGCCAAATCTCATTTGGCTACACAAGTAATTTTGTCCGCTGCTCATATATACATATATATATGTTCACCCTACCGTTTTCCGGGCACAGCTCCCGTTCAGCCTCATGAAAGAAATCTTTGAGGTCACTGGCGATCACTGCATTATACCAGATGCACCAATCGTGGCGACCTGCCGGACAATGCAGCATGATACGTGGTTTTCTTCGATGGTCGCTCTGTTGTTTTTTCAGCAACCCCGTCCATTAATTGGGTGACTACCAGGCATTCAAAGTCATGCCGTGCCAATGTCCTCACAGGAGAAATGTATTACCAGGTCATTCTGGAGGCGATTCAGTGATTCAAGAATGCCGAATGTGTTTGTTGAAGAAAAGGAGTATATGAATTTTGGGGCTGTGGCACCACTGATGGAAGCTGCATGCCCCCAATTAAATGAAGATGCTCTCCTCACTAATCATTTAACGACCATCACCGCTGTTAGAGAACTTGTGCATCAAATAATTTGCACTTCGATTCCTGAACTAGTGATACCTAGTGCAGAACCTCTCAAGTGCTCTTCCGTCCGAGTTCACCAAGGTCATGACCACGGAGATTCTTCGCAACAAGTGCCCTGCCCATGAGTGGGTCGGTTTCGGGTCAGTGGCAAGGACGGGTTGGGACCAATGATGTCCTTTTGGGAAGCACTAGAAGGGTCGGTTTGGTACCACAAAAACCTATTTGTTGTACACTTGAGGGATCCCCTCTATTAAGCAACAAACCAAGGTCGTAAAAGGTCAACTATGGTTGGGACCCTTCAAATGCTGGGTCACCTGCTTGAAGAGTCCCGCAAAACACTCTCCAACTCCAACTCTAAAAAATGCCGCATGTGTGATGCCTGAGGTGCCTTGTTTAACAATTGAACCACACCCAACGGTGCAAAGAACTGTAACTAAGCAGTTATTTAGTGAATGGATCCACTTTAGACTCTACTGTAGGCTGTTAAAAGCTCGAACAGTTCTTCTTGTTTCACGGGTTGCAGAGGGCTAACTGAGTGGGTAGTTTTACCATGTTTTACCTGTCTTCGTCAGTATGGACTGAGAGATCTACTATGACCGCTCCCACCAGGTCTTCCCATTTCAAGTTCACCGTCTTTAGGAACAACTGACAAAGTGTTCGTTGCTTTTCTGGTGTTGTGAATTCGTTTTGACCACGTTTTATGTATTTTTGTGTGTTTGTTAATAGCATAACACATAGTATATATAACTATATATATATTATATATAATTTGGACCTTGCGAGTTTGAATACCTGGAGTACGCACCGACTGTAAAATGGGTACAGTCGTACCTGCTTTTCTTTTGTCGAGTCATGTCCCCTTTTAAAGTACTTGAAGTCGGGTCCAGGTACTTCCTTTGCCCCCTTGTTTTGCAATGCGAAGAGGACTCCACACCTGGAACAGCTAGGCTCTACATGTTTGGAAACTCCTTGGGCGAACGTGGGCAACACCTGGTGGTAGTGCTGGATGAGAGTCACGGCAGCGTTTGGTTGTTTTTCTCGGCGTTCGGGTTGACCCGGGTAGAGCCCAAAAGTGGCACCTCATGGGACATGCACAGCTGCCGATGGACCGTGTCTTTTGCGCAGCTGCCGTCTCTACAAGGTAAGTGCCAACACGTTGGACCACAATAATGGTTTGGTATGAGAGAAAGTCGTCAAGCAAACAAAGAGCCGCAGCTGCTACGTACGTGATTGATCCATGCTGAGTTTGACCTGCTTAAGGTTCTAGGCTAAAGGCGTTAAATGATGTTTGTTTCCGCAGGCTTGGCCGGGGATGGGCTCGGCCCGTCGCATGTGGCTTCGGCGGTGATCTCCGTTTGCAACGCCGTGCGCGTGTTTACACGCCCTGGAGGCAATAGTGGGGCTTCAAGTACTATGCAAGAATATTTGCTCCCTGAAATAATCGCGGAAGTGGAAAACAACCTGTTTATAGAGAAAATTGCCATCCTATGGACAATTACCACTTCCATGTGCATGATGATTTCAGGAAGGGTAGCAGCTGTGAATTCGGATGAATTAGGTTTTCGTGCTGGACTGGCTCATGCTCCAAGCAGTTCACGGTCGTTTAGTTGTTTAGTTTTGGCTGGCGGCTAGCGCACCGCCAAGTAATCTCCACTAAAGAAGATGCCACCATTTTTGAGAAGACCCAGGAGGCTAAAGCAGTTGCTTTTTGATGCCACCGAGAGTCTCCCAGCATAAGGCTTTTGCTTTGCTTTGTGCCTTTTTCGGGGTTGAGTGTGTCAAACCTTGAGCCAAACTGATATGTTAGACATTGTGTAAGGCTATGATCCAGAAAGCATCCTGACTTAAAAATGCTTGAAGATGTCGTTGTGGATTGTTGAGTAGAATTCGACACATGACTGTATTTGTTGTTTCTTTTCTCTCTTGGCCCCTTGCTCATTTGCGAGCATATGGGGCACACATCCAAAAGGCTTCAGATGAACCCCCATTTGTCTAAGGCCTTTGGGCGTGCCATCGAACTTCAGAAACCACTGTACTGTACATGGTTCATTTCAAGGGTGTGCTGTGGCCTCCAGCCCGCACATGATGGTGGGTGTCAGGTGGCTACTTCCTGCCCCGTCTCAGGGCAATATTGTGCCCTTTTTTGTCATGATCCTGACTCTTAAACTGCTTGAAGACCATGTGGTCAGGGTCCCTTGCCCATTTCTGGTATCCAATGAGCTGTCATGACGCCTGCATTTTCGAGCTCCAAGAGGCGCTCGGGGTGGCACAGCTGACTTGGTGACTTGGGATTATCCGGCTCTCCTGGAGGTTCAGGGTAGACATGGGTAGACTATTGGTGACGAACACCTTGGCTTCCAAGGACACTTCACCAGTTGCCTCTCACCCATCCACACCCAATGCGCATATCCACCCTGCCCTGAAGCTCATCAGGTCTCAGCACCAGTCTTTGTTTTTCCCAGCCCACCCAGGCTCCACTGGATCAGCGATCGCAGCCGCGGCAGCGTTTGGGAGGTGCGCCGCCTTTTGGGGGGAACTCCCCCATCGGTGATGGACCATGGGGCATATGTATGGAAACATCAATGGAGCCATACATGTTCATTTCATTTATCCATGGATGGTTTCTATATCCATAGATGGTTTCTATAGCATGTTCTAGTCTTTTCTGGAGTCATATGTTTTAATATGAGCGTTAATGGTTCAACGGACAGGATCTGTTCAATGTACGGTGGACGTGTTTGTTGGGTGAGTTTACCTTCGGGTGTGGCGAGGGATGGCGGGGGTGAGACCGGCCGTGCCTAATGACATCAAGTCCGTATAGTGGATTGAGAGTAGATGGCACAGACCCCAAGAGCTGTTTTATATGGACCCCTATATAAAGGACATCTTGGGGTCTGTGCCGAAATGATTTCGAGGCCTTCATCCACGGGATGTTCGCACGCGGTGTGTTGGGTACAGGCAAGTGGGGCAAGGCTGGGTTTTTGCCGCTCGGCCGGTGCCTTTCAAGCACGAAAACCGGTTGGGTTGGGACCGAGGCCTAGGTCTAATTTTTCAAAGTTAGGAGGTTTAGTTGCTGGGGTGTCAGAGTACAAGTTGTTGGGGAGGTTAGGCTAAGTAGATGGCCCAAATGTCCAAGTTGGGTGGTTTAGATGGAACCATGAAAACCCCATTGATCAGGACATGTTGGGGTGCTAGTACCATGTTCTTTGAACTCACATGTGCTGACACTTGGGATTTGCGGGCATCCCATGACCTTCTTGGAGTTTCCAACCGGCCTTTTTTTCATGACCTTACCTTGGTAAGAGTGGCTTGCGCACAATGTCCCGAAGGAAGTGATCATCAATGGCCCGAGCTCCTGTCAGTTTCTTGGGCTTTCAGGCCAGTCACCGATGTGTGTTCTTTAAGCAATTGGTTTGTCAGATGTTTCTTCGCTGACACGGGGGCTGGGATATGACTAAACATACGGTCACATGTTTAGTACGCCACGATTTAAATAGGACCCCTGCAGGAGATGCTCCAAGTGGTGATTAAGATGCCCACTTGAAGCAGAAACTTACCTGCTGGCAGCTGTGGAGTGCAGCACCGACACAAGAGACACGCATGAGGCATGTCCTGGAAAAAACGGTGCAACAGCTGCAACAGTGGTATATAAACAAGCACTATTTGAGGGAAAGGCCTGGTACCTAAGTATCATCATCCACTGGGCCCAGGGAATAGGTGATACCAAAAATAATGAACATATGCGCTTGTGGCATGTGAAGCAGTTGGTGGCTTGTTCTATCCGTGGTTACTTCCTGCAACGTGGAAGGGTAAGTTTTCCACCTGCAAACCTTCAGACGGTCAGATACCGCTAGTCTTGGAAATGGTCACCGTGTTTGAACTTTCTTCAAATCAAAACCACCTCACATGGTCGAACATGGGACCTTTGTGCTTTCCACCTGGGACCTGTGAAACCACGGAAAAGCCCCATCCGCGGATCCGCGTGTCACCCCATCGATCCCCCGACAGGGTCCGTTGGTGGAGATCCGCAGGAGTTCTGCGACTGGGCCGAAACGATGGTTGTGGGGCCTTCGGTCTGTCGCGCCGAGTGGCCGAGGTCGTGGGGCGGTGTATGTTGGGTTCTGAAGGGAGGCGAAGGGTCAGTGCCGTTAGGGTGAACAGAGCCAGTTTTGGGGCCGAATTCAACACCCACCATAGAGAGATGGCTCATTCCACAGTGTACCTGAAGGGGAGCATCTTCTTCACAGGATTTGAGATTCCTGACATCCCTGCATCCATGGTTTCAGAGAGGGAACGGAGATCGTCTTAAGCAGAAACCCGTCCGGCTGAAGCTTGCTTAGATGGTAAAACCAAAGCTATGCATTTGGTGTTTGTCCTAGACAACCTGTAACGGTCAGGTTTCACAAGCAAAGCACTATTTGAGACGAAAGGGGCCTGCAACCTAACCATCATCCGCTGGGTCTTGGTAATAGGATAAACCCAAATAATATGCATTTGTTGTCCAATGGAGATTCCTAGAAGAAGTGCAGGGTAGTCCAGACATGATTTTGATCCAACTTGCGTCGTCCTGTCATTAGAACCCTCAGAGATGAAACCATCTCGTGGCGAATTGTCACTGGAACACGCTGACCAGTCGATCCTATCTTCTAAGGATCTTCAACTTGACCCTACCCGTCCCTATGTTTCTAGGGACTCCAGGTTGAGCAATCACGCCCTTTTTGCGTGAAAAACACATCGACCGCGACCAAACTGGACATCCCAAAACCATCCAGACGACAGGTGTTCGACCCGTTTCTTCTCCGAGCTTCACCCCCAAACCGGTGGAAAAACCCAACGCGCTCTGGCCTGGGACCGCGCCGTCACCGGGCCTGGCAGAGGCCACTGGATGGAATCCATCCTCGGCCGCCCCTGTGGCCTGGTCGTCTCCCAGCGCAGGCGAGCTGGGAGGAGCTGGGCGGTGGGAGGAGCTGGGCGGGAGATGGCGGGAGAGATGCCATGACGTTTTCTTGGCACTTCACAAGCCATTGGTCGAGCCAGCTGTTTTATAGATTGTTTTAGTTTGAAGTGAAGAATTCATTTTGGGACTCCATCGGCCACAATCCATTCGCAAAGGTTAGATCTGGTTAGCAACTTTTGTGAACGCCCTGGTTTTCAGATTGGTGGATATGAGTCAGAGTGGCCTTGGAACAGTGGCCTTCCATGTGGGTTTGCAGCTTGGGGATAGATTGGTATAGGGTTTGGGAGGTAGATCCATGGAACTGTTTTTTATTTTTTTGGAAGATGACTTTTCTTTTCAAACAGGAGGTGCGTTCCACTTCCATGTTTGGGCATGTTTGTGTGACGTTTCAACTTCATTTGGATGGACCCTTCTTTTTACGTGGAGGGTTCCTCAGTAGTTGGTGAGTCAAACCCAGGATGTCGTCTTCGTGAACCTTCCAACTGCGTGACCCAAAAAACTGCCCAAGGTCCGCTCCGTTCACAGCCCCAAACGGTTGGTGCCTCCAAACCTTCCCGCGGACCATAGGGCCCAATGAGCGTTTTGGGTGTTTCGGTTTTTCCAGAAAGCCGCCCGCGGCCGCGAAGTGTGGGGCATGGGGCATGGCTGGGAAGTGTGAGAAAGCGGCCCCGAGCTACAGATACAGATGCAGAGATGAGACTAGATTGACTTGCCAGCAAGAGCATGCAGAGCTGGTCCAAACCGACCTCGTTGGTTGGATGCAATCAAAAGCACTTTTGGGAATCACCGTTGGAGCGAGAGCACATCCGATTGTTGGCAGTTCATGAGAGCTGCTTTGCCTATACATGGTTTTGCGAATCAGGTGATGTTTAGTTTCCCTCTACGTGAATCTCCTTCTGGGGAAGAGGTATTCTTCCAGTTTCTGGAGAAAAGATGGAAGTAAACCACCTCGTGGATATCGCGTCTTTTTGGCGCACCATCAGGCCGGTCCCCTTAAATTTCTATGTGATGAGGAGCCGGATGTGTGTGTGGGGGGGGGTCGTTGCATGGAACACCTGGAAGTGTTGGAGCGCACGCTTGGTGAGTTGAAAGGCCATGTCGGACCATTATGAAGCAGCACATGTCATGTTATATAGTACACTATTATATATATATAGTTATAGTTGTTATATATATATATATATCACCAGGCAGTGGTATTGAATATTCCCACTCTGACTTGCTAGAGCCCGCGTTTCTTCGTGTTACTTCTCCCTCATGATCGCTGGATGCCAATCGACCTCCGATGAGCTCAATTTCACAGTTTGTATGGAGAAGTCGCGTTTTCCCGGCCAAGAAGGCCCACAGTAGGGTAAGGAATGAAGGATAAGTCAGGTCCCACTTCCATTTTGGCGTACGTTCTTGTGAGGGTCTATTTTCATGTTCGACAAACCTAGTTTGAAGTGATCCTTTTTGTGGTTTATGCAAGACAGTTGAGGTGTGCTTTTGATGTGCCTTTGCTTCAGCTCGGACCCTCTCTTGTAGGAACAAGAAGAACTTGAACAAATCAAACATGTCTCCACCTCTCCTCTCCTTACATGGGCAGGAGGTCCAAGTCCTCTCAGAATGAACGGAGCTTCCCTTTGTGGGACGAGGCGACTGGCAGAGTCATGTTTTCGTTCGCGAGACCATGCGATCCTCGATCCGCCATGGTTTCTGGGAAACGACCTTTTTGCAGCCGGCTTCGGGGTAAGATGTGTCCAAAAAACGTTCCACAGATTTGTTTCACCAAAAGAATACTCAGTCAGTCCCATAGAGATCTTAGAGGCACTGAAATACAGGCCTTACAACATGTACAGTAGGCTGTAGGGGTTGACTCTGCAGCATGTTCATGTACCATTGATAACTGGCTCCAAGAGCAAAGCCCACAAAGATTCAACCTTTCTGAAGGGGCTTGTTCGTCACAGAAACCACTCCTCTCAAGCGAGGCAGGAACTGAACTTCATCCCAGGCTCTTGGATGAAGTGGCTCGGTGAATCAGTGAAGAACTGGAAACCCAGGCGGCCCAGGTCTGATGAGTCAGACATGGGGATGGGTCAAAACCTGAAGCCCTGGTCCAGTGGACCACCATGTAGTGAAAGACCTGCTAGGTCAACCAGGGCATCCTGGGTTTGACAGAAAGCCAAAATCCTACTCTCGTCGAAGGAGAACATCATGCATAGGAATAGGAGTAAACGAATTGTTTCCACGAAACATTCGTCTTTGCCCGCACACCACCCAAACTGGACAGCTACAAGCACAGCTACCAGGCATGAGGGCACGCACCGGGGCAACCGGCTCTTAAGGGCTACAGCTGCTCACACGCAGTTTCCATTGTTGCGTGGCCCTTGCAGGGACAAGAGTCTGACAAGAGTGGTGGTTCTGTTTGCTTCGCATTAGCTTTTCCAAGTCACTGAGTGGGTCACCGCTCAGGACTGGAGAGATGTACCTGAGAAGCCCAAGGGGCCAGGACGGTCCACGACATGTCCCCGGAGCAGATTTGGCTTGGGAGCTGGCCGTGCTCGTCGGGTTTTTGAGACCAAGTCGAGCAACCTACGTCTACCCCGGTAAAAAGCATTGAAATGCTGCATGTATATATATATATATATATGCGCATGTTCTAAGGTGCGTACTTTCTCAGACTCCGGGTAGGGTCATCAAAGGAGTAAATATGGTACGATGGTTCATGTGTATTAATGTCTTAGAGTCTTTGGGGTTGCTCCAGCCTGAAAGGCGAGAGAGCCATGCACATTAACCCATGAGGAGTTGGAAGTACTCCCCTTGATTGCCTCGGAGCAGCAATCAAGATAATCAAGATGCAATCTCGCCAACCATAGCACCAGCAAAGATTTTCTGGTTTGAAGATGTTTCAAATTGTTTGAAGCATCAACCAGCCCCATCCTAGTCTCATGTGTTTTGTTTTCTGTGTGAACTTGAAAATGCAACATCTTGTGTGGTCAACCATGTTCAACCATCTCGATTGATGCACCATGGCTGCATAGCGATGAGATGTGCAGGATGTGGGGAACACCTCGGGTCTGCACAAAAACGGTCTTTGCTAAAGGCTATTGTTTTTATAGACGTTGACCCTCAGGGTATATATATATATATATGTGGGTGGTCTCGGTTGTTCGGTGGTCTCGCTGGTTCGGTGTGAAGAGATGTCAATAACGTGTTCGCTGTCGTCTTTTTTCAGGAACTCATGCTATGAAAGGCAGCGTGCTCACTGAAATGCCAGTAGAGATGGATTTGATGGGTTTCGCACTGGAATCATCATGGAAGTGGAAGGTGTTTCCTTGGATAACCATGTTCTATGTTCCCTTTATGCACTTCCGACATTCAAGCCAACAAGCACCGTCCAGGACTCCCCCGCGTTTTAGCTCTTGCGCGGACGCTGAAGCGCTTGCAGCGCCTGAAGTGGCTGCCAGCACTCAGCTTCTCGCTGCAGCGAAGGCGTTGCGAGGAGAAGGTGGGGCACAGCCAATGCAAGCATCTGGCAATTGGGTTTGTCCAATGGGTTGTAGTTTCATTTTCCTCCAGGGCGTGTTTCGGGTGCCTCCCTATTCTAATACACATACCATCTCAAGTTTATGATATCCGGCCAGGGGCCCGTCACGGGCCCGGCTCTGGCCATGGCATCCCGAAGGGTTCTCTCCTCTCCGAAGGAGAGAGGGGCTCCACCCCCTGCCGCCGACCCAGGGGGGGCAACCTACGTCGCTGTGTTTTACGGTATGTTTTTGCGCGCGACGTTCAAAAGCAGCGGTTTTACAGTGTTTCGTGCGCTTGGATGGGGCCGGATTCGATCTTGGCCACGTCAAAAAACCGTGGTTTTTACTTGGTTTACGGAAAACGTCGCATCTGACAAGTATGTGAACATAAGTGGCGCAAAGTGCCCCCAACATAGCTCCAAACATAGGCCTAACACGGGCGCATAATGCTAGAAAAAGCGTGCTGCACCGGCGTGCATAGCCTGCATCGTGTGGTGGGCCCCTCAACCACAACCGCAACAACAATAACAACCACCATCTGCAACCACCCACCAGTGGTGGGCCCCTAGCCCTTAAATCCATGGTCTTCAAGGCAAGTGAAGACCATCACAGCACACCCCATTCCATGCATTTGTTTTTGGCTTTCACTCTTTTGGGGGGTTGACAGTTCTCTATAATGCCTTCAGAGTCGTAATCTGGACGTATTGATGTTCATCCCCAAACGGTAGAAGTTGAGTTTTCATGATTTTGTCCACCATATGCATTCCTCAGCATGCGCCTTGCGACCCATGGTGATCAATGTGAGTGACTTGCACCAGATGGTCGAAACGCGAACAAGACATGATTGCGAACAGGACGTGCCCTGTCGTGAGCACCCGCAGGTTCAAGACGCTCACTTGCTCCTCTCCTTGGCTCGGCCTGGTGCATTTCGTTCTCCAGCCTTCCGGCTTCTGCGGTGGCGCCCCCTCGTCACTGAGGCGGAGGCGGCAGAGATCCAGCAAGCGGCTCGGATTTTCCAAGTGCCCAAATGATGTTGACACTGAAGAAGGGCAAGCCTACATTTGGAGGACAACCTGCAAAGCCACACTTGGAGGAGTCCAGCATCTCATGTGTTGCTTTGTGGCTTAGTGACACTGCGACCACTCCGTCGCAGTTGGCGAGCGACATCACAAAACCGAGATGGCACAAATCAAAAAGCGTCCTTTCTGTTGATCCAGGGTACCTTCAGTACATCTTCAGTACCTTCCTTTTTGTTCATGGTGGCTTGGATTCTTTGGTACCGACTGGAATTTGAAGCCCTGGCCCTGGCTGCATGTCTCGGTCGCTGAGGCTCTGACCCACTTTGAGCGCGACTTCCCAGCTGCTCGGAAAACACAGGTCTTCGTTGGGGATGCAGATCAGCTAGAATGTACTATTGTTCCTCAGGCAGCGGAATTTGAAGGGCTGGCAACAAGCTGCTTAATGAACACACCTGACCTGCTGAACCTGAGTGCCTGTGATCAAACACATACAAACATATTATGACTATTCAAAACATATATATATATAGAGAAGCATAGGATACCTTGCACATCCCTGGCCTCACAAACCTAGCGAGTGATTGTATCCCCCAAAAAGAAAAACCTATAATTGATGACTTGCAGTGAGGCTGCTTTTGCATTTGGTTGAGGGAACACCCAACCATCAAAACACAGAACATGAACATGCCATTCTTCTCAGAGGCACCCAGAATGTTTCGAACGCGGATGTGCTCGGGCTCACATGTCACCTTCACCCCAGCACAAGCAATAGCTATCCCAAAACGCCTCATTACTTGCCAGCGTGGACGACCCACAGCCGCTATTTCGTGGGCACAGCGCACTGAGGATTTGGAGTTATCCCAGACCACTCGGGAAGTCTTGCTGAATGGCTTGGCCGCCCACCATGCTGGACTCATGCCTGCGCACCGGGCCCCTCGGAACGAACCGGCGGAGCGTGCCGCACCGGTGTGTGCCCGGTGTGGTCGGTGCGAACGGTGGGTGAAGCAAGCAGATCAAGCAACTCACGGACTTGAATCAGGTAGAAACAAGATGTTTTGCGCTTTGTGTTTGGGTCATTTGGGGTACCTTAGGCCTCCCTTGGCCTCTTGGTTGGTGAGAATTGGAAGACTTCAGTTGCTCTCACCCAACATTTTGAGAGCCTCTTGGCCCTACGTGCAGAGTTTTGGGGGTTCCCTCACTGGCGGGTGCGTCAAGCAAGACTAGAAGGGCAAGCTTTGCCATAGCTGCAGAAATTATCATCAAGAACACCCAGACCCAATAGCAGACAATAACCACATAACAGTTAACATGACCCGATTTGATATGACCTTTACCACTAGGCTCACTGGGCCCGCGATTCTCGCTGAGGCCTTGGTGGAGACCCTTTTCGAGCGAGGCGCGCCCGTTTCCGGGCCAAGCACGCTTCGAGGATTGCGATCACATGGTGACGTCGTACCATTTTCCCTAGGGCTCCAACCATACCTGGATCTTTGAAACGGCACAAATAATTGCCTTTTCAGGAAAAAATGCCGTTACGGCGTCTTTTTCCTTTTTTTGTTGTGACGAGGCGCACGCCGGCAGAAAGCAAAAAGAAACGGCGTCTTTAAGCGTCCAAACGGCGTCTTTGGGCGTCCAAACGGCGTCTTTCCCCGTCCGTACAACCCATAAAACGGCATGTTTTTTTGATTACGGCGTCTTTTCACTAAAAAATGCCTCCCTGGACCACCCAACTCATCAAAATTCTTCGCAGTTTGCGGAAGTGACTGTCTTCTTGTGCAAACCGACTGCTTCTCCAAGTAAAATCCTTAAATCACTAAAACTCCTAAAGATCCTATAGATATGGTTTCTGTGGGGCCAAATGTGTACACGGCCGCATTGGAGTCCGCTCGCCGGTCCTTGGTTGGATCAAAGCAGCGTGGGCACCCTTAGATGCCCTGGGATCTGGAAACCTACGGATCTTGTGGATGGAGCCTTGATATATATTATGTGTTTTCTGAGCATGCACCTTTGAACCTGTCAGTGACTACATGTATGCATGATCTTGTGCACCTGTGAACCGGTCAGTGACTACATATGTTTCCACTGCACATGCATGATCTTGTGCTTGCACAGCACAGGATCAGATTGGAAGTTGGTGATTTGGATGAGATCACTATCTTTTTCGCTTCTCAGCTCAAATACCACGAAGGTTCTGTGGAAGAAGGTCTCAGCTTAGATCAACAATCATATATCATATGCATATGAGAATTAGGATTGCTGATTCGTGGGTTGGGATTTGTGGGGCTAAGCTAGAGTGATATAGATATATATGCTTCTTTTGCCGTCTCAGGCTGGCTTGGTTCTACATCAACAGCTCGCTTTGGTATCCTGGCCTTGCTGAAGTTCTCCAGGTGCCTCCGGTTTCGAGCTACGTGGACCCTTTGAATCAGAATGCGTGCTCTGTGAAAACATTTCTGTATGCACTCTTCTTCAGATCGGCTCTAGGGACGGGCGTTTCAACTCTTTTTGTTGCTGTGTTTGCCTGATGACAGTATCAGCCACAGACCTGGCCAGAGAATGGGAGAAGGATGAGGTCGTTAGAGTGAACACGAGGAAACTCACTGCGGCCCCTAGGATTGTAGATCGACTTTTTTGATCGAGCGTATATTTATGTATATTTGCCAGGGCAGGTGGATAGTTAGTCAAAGGACACTTGCATCCAAATAAGCTAAGGTTGTCTGTGAGGGCAATGCAGTCACCCGCGATGCCTTGGTCAAGAACGAAAGGCTGCTAACCCATTTGGTCAACCACCTCGGGTCTAGAGTCTCTGTATGTGCTGACCGTTCATCTTACCAGCCTGTATGAGTTCACTGGAGTCACACTTCACAGTCCCATGTCTCATTAATATAACTTAATTATATTGTTACAAGGAATGCTATATGTTTTGTTACTGCAGCACCTAGTGGTTGCAGTGGGAGCTAAGGCTCTGTCGTCCATACCCAAGCATGGACACTGAGACGCTGTTTGACTTTGTACAATGATGTTTGCCGGCGGTACCACCTGCCACGCGAGCCGGCTATCCGCAGGCTCCTTTGCAACACGAATGTGGATTTGACCTTGTACGGCCCCAGCTCTTCTGAACAACTTGAAGAAGGCGCTGATGGGGCAGGTGCTGATGCTGCTGAGACATGTGAGACTGACGCCGAAGAGGGCGCTGAATCTGAAGTTGATGTTGAAGATGACCCTTGTTTCTTGTCCATGGTTGGTTGGAAGGCATTTGCCCTATGCACTTGATCTTGGAACTTGTTGGATGCACATCTCAAATCCTATGTTGCCCATACTCATCACATCTAAGGCTGTGAGGAAGAACAAGTACCAGGAGGAGATGTACCTGAACCTCTATCCGAACCCAGCGCAGAGATGAGCGGGGGAGATTCTCTTGATCCTTCAATGGTCACGTGTATTAAAAGTCTTAATCATGGCCTAGGTATTCAATTTGGTTGGGGGACATTCACCGCTCCATCCACCCAAGCTCGTACGATCCATCAACCAAGGCTCCAGAGCACGTGGCAAAAGATCATGAAGATCCTGCTGAGGCTCCCGTGGCACCTGCCCCAGAAGGCAGGAACATGTTGCACAAATCTCTTCGCACATTCACACCCCTTGCAACACATACCTACCCGCGTGTGTTTTATTATTCTTAGCCGCTACGCTCAGAGCATGAGAAAGACCATGCAACACATACCTGCGTGTGTTTTATTTTTGCTAGGCTCAGAGCATGAGAAGGACGCACCAGAGCAGGTTGTCGACCCCCGCGTTGATCAAGTGCAGAAGCTACAGCAATATTTGGAGTTGCTCAAACACATATCTCGTTTGAGGGCTGCACAGCAGTTGGTCTTACCCGCATGTACTCCAACAAACTGCCTCTAGCCTCAATGCATATGTGTGCTTCTCACCATCCGAAAGGCAAAAATCCTTCCACCTTCTTTGCACGGTTGTTTGAAAGAAACCCTTGAAGGTCGGCTTTGAGTCCAGTGACCGGAGCCCTTAATCTTCTTGCGGGTCCATCGTTTTCTAAGGCTTTGGCGACGACAACATGGACACTCAGCCCTGGCAAACCGCAGAGGTGAACAACCAGAAGGCTGCTGATGAGGTATCTCTGCATGTCTCAAAGGCATTGACTTTCGCAGCTGAGGTGGCCAGCAAACATGAGAACCAAGTCCCACAAGCCAAGGAATCCAAGGAAACTGAGGCGGCTGAAATTCCTACTACGGCTTCAGCCGGAGCTACTGAGGCTCAGGAGTTGCCTGATGCGGCTTTGGCTGAAGTGGCAGAAGCGAAGCCACCCGAAATGGTAATCTTCACTACTGAGGATGTAGTCTTGCAAGATCCAAAACCTTTGGAGTTGGAAGCCTCGGTGCCGAATGTGGTCGCTCAAGCTCCAGAAGTGTTGGATGACTTGGCATCTTCAGCAAAGAGCCAGGTCAAGGATTTGGAATCGAATTGTCCTCGACCGCCTCTACATGAGAATGTGGCTTCCTTGCAGACGCCACAGGTTGCCGTGGAGGAGGGTCCAAGCGAAGGTGGAAAACAGACCCCACCAAAGGTGGATGCGATGACTTCTTTGAGTGCCGAACAGGTCAGGGCTGACATATGGACAAAGCAGGAGCGGAAGACAAGTAGAAAGCCAAGGCCAAATACGGATCTTCCCGATGCTGCTCTGCCTGAAGCACCAAAGCCAGAAACATGGGGGAAGGATGCATGCCTCAGTCCTCAAGAGCAATGTCCCCCAAAGAAGCGTGGAAGGAAGCCAAAGGAGGAGAATCAGGGTGAGAAGGATAAGAACACCAAAGGGAAGAAGGCGTGGCATGGAGTGTTGGCTGTCATTTTGCAGCAGTAAGGAGTAGCTATCGAAATCCCGGCCATGCATAAATAAGCGATTGAAACTCTACTCGTTCACAAGTTCCCAATCCAGTGGGCCCACAGGCCCACAGGGTGTACTTTCAATCACTTGCTAGGCGCAAGAGTCAAAGACAAACAAAGGAAACGAAGTCGACGGTGACAAGACCCGAAAGAAGAGAGAGGCCAAGTCAAAGAGCTCCAAGCTTGCGGAAGATTCCGGTGCAAAGGCTCACACGTTGAAGAGGACAAGGAAGAACCAGGCATCCCAGGAGTCTGAAAAGGCTGAGGCTTCGGAGGCTCCTCCCTCGAAGAGGGCAAGAGCGAAGGCCAATGCCTCCAAATCCAGTGGTGCTGGGAAGAGAAAGTGTGAGTCGAAGAAGCATGAATCTTCTGAGGAGCCAGGAAACCATGAGGAAGCCAAGGAGAGTGAGAGCAACGGTGCTACAGCAGCCGAAAGGACTCGGCAATACCTTCTCGAGGTGAAGAAAAAGAGGAGCCGTAAGTCATGCGCATACGTCAAGGCGTACAAGGCCACCGAGGGCACTGAGGAGGAGAAGCGTGCAGCAGCTAAGAAGGTACCACGGTGGCAATATTTTTACACGCAGGCTTAAGTACACAGGTGTTTAGGATTGACTTCTCAATTGCCTAGGCATATGCTGCCACCGACTGATGGCGATCCCGAGCTGAGCATTTCTATGGGGTGGATTCTGGGCCCGCTTGATAGATTTCATGCATACTTGTTGAGCTTTTAGGTGTGCATATGATCACACAGGGGCTTGACAGGATGCAAGTCGTACATATGGTGTGGGGAGGTATGACCTGAGTCTAGCTACAAGCGGTAGAACCTGGAGTGCAAAGCAAAAAAGTGTGAGAACATCTTTAAAACTGATTCTTGCCTGCGTGATTGAAATGTATAGTGTTTGTTTGTTGGCTAACTGCTCAGCGATGCAGGTGCAAATGCCTCCTACTTTCAACAAATTTGCAACCCGGGCAGCTTCAACGAGAAAGCCTGACTAGTTTGATCGGATCTGGATCATCATGCTTCTGTTTTGTCATCATTCCGTACTGTTTTTCACCTCCTGCCTCTTCACCGCAGCGCTTTCGAAGCACGCGTGTAGTTGTCCTAGCAGGGGAATAAAGAGCATGGTGAAAAGGAAGGACAGCGTTGTCATGAACTTGGCGCAAATGGGGGCACCGAAGGTTGGAACTTCGGAGCCATTTGATGTCTCAAAGGTTTGACTCATGCGCCCGTACTTTGTTGTTTGCCGCCCTGTAGGTTCTCCTTGCTATAATCCTCCTACTGGGTTGGACTGAGAACATCTCCACAGAGCTCAAGTTCACCATGGTTGAGTTTTTTTCTGGAAAGGGCCATGTATCCAACGAGTTTAGAAAAGATCCAAACCATGTGGTGGCTTCTTTTGAGAAAGAAGATTCCCGATCCATGGACTTTTTGAGTCCAGCCGGGCTGTCGTTCCTAGATTCAAATTCAATAGCGCTTGCGATTTAGACATGTGG